GTGTGTGTGTGTGTGTGTGTGTGTGTGTGTGTGTGTGTGTGTGTGTGCGCAATTATTTTGTCATATAAACGTGAAAGAGCCACACACGGAATAGCTGGCACACACACGTAAAGATTAAAGATGTATTCCTTAATACATCTTTATTCTCTTTCATTAATGCAAATGAAGGAATGACAAGGAACCACCTCATGGGTGAGGTATAAGAGGTTAGCTGCAGCTCCCTCTTCACCGTTAAAGATGCTCTTTTTTTTAACCTTGAGGTTTTAACACTTTTTTTTTTTTTCTCCTTTTACACCCGTAGGCATTGATTCCAAACTGTGTTTTTAACCTTAGCTTCTATCCTCCTAAGACTTGCAGGACCTTAATTAAATAAGCTAGACATAGCGGATGACATGCATATCGGATATGAAACGCAGACGTCTTATTCACCTGACTAATCCTCAGATGTCAGTCACATTTTGGGCAGAACAGTCCAACTTCATTGCGTCACCCCTGACTTTGCTGCGTGTCCCCAAGAGCAGGTTCGTGAGAGAAAACATTTGACCATCCCTGTCATCACAGGTTGAATCAGTGAGGGACTCTAAGCCACGTCCTCAGAGCTTCATATTATTGAGTGGAGAAGTGGAAGGGCAACGGATACAGAGGAGGTGTACACGTAGAAATGTCACACCCCCAAAAAAGTTCAGGTTTTTCTGTTTGTAGTAGTTCTCTCATTTGGGTGTTTAACGATGCACTAGGCATTGTTTGTGTGTGTGTGTGTGTGTGTGTGTGTGTGTGTGTGTAATGAGTCAGGAGTCAGCTCTGTGCTGCAGTATGAGGGATGAGGGCAGCTTGGCAGGTGTTCAGCAGCAGACTGCCACTAGCTGCGAGCTGTGACAGACAAACAGTGCTATGACTGACAGCCAGACGTACTCTGTCACCATCATTAAACAGTGTTTCTTTTCTTTCTCGCTTTGTGTCTCCGCCCTCCCCTCTTCCTCTCTTTCTCTTTCTCCTTCTTTATTTGTGTCTTCCTCATTTTTTTGCATCTGTGTAGCCAACTGGCACGCAATGAAAGGTAAGAAAACGACAATCTGGTGTTTCTTCTTTTTTTTTAATCGACACAGTCTCAAGCATCAGATGTTATCGAGTTAAACTTGCATGGTAATATTGATAATAAAATGCAGGTTTTGAAAAGGCGAAGCTCTGAAGATTGGAGCGAGTCAGCCGGTATGTGTAGGTTTCATGTGTGATGGGGAGCTACCGCTGAGCAGCATGTCTCTGTTTTGTGTCTGCAGAGTGGACGGGCGAAGGTGGTCTGTGGCGTCGGTCCCCTCGTCTGGATACTGCACCAATGCACCCAGTTCATCAGTATCCGTAAGCTGAAGTCTCTTTCTGTTTTCCTCTCAATGTCTGTGCTCAGGTCCGTCTCTTACCCTCATCAGATATTCGACCCCTTTCCAAACCACTGTCATGGGACCGTTTAGCACCCCGTGTTACTTCTACTCGGTGTATCAATCAGTTTACGGGGGCCGTGGTGTCTCGTGAGCTTAAGGTGCTGACTGACTGAACTGTAAATCCCATCAGATTGCACACGGTCTAGGAAATAAGTCCTTGCTGATTTACAGCAGACCCCCGGTTTACAGAGTGATATATTACATAAGGGCTCTGCACCTGGACCACGCTTTAGATGAGCTGTGAAAGTGGTGTTTTATACCCTGTGACAAACCGCTCACAGCAAGAAAATGCAGGCATATTTATTATCTTGAGTAAAGTGATGCAGATTCAGCTCGTCTTGTAGAAGTTGAAAGCGATGCTCTCTAATTCACCAAATTTTGGCAGGAAATATAAGCGCCTCACAATTACTGAGCATAAATGGACAACATAGAGGTAGATAACGAGAAATGGCTGTTTTGATCCGCCTCCATTCTTCAGAAACAAACTTTTTAATACCCGAGTATCCGGTGTCACTTCGCACTGACCCGGTGGCCTCTGCAGACGGCATACAGTTGAGATCATATGTTCAACAGATGCAGATAAAGACACGGAGAGCATTCTCAGAGGCAGGTGGGAAAACCTCCCCATCATCACAACACTGTTACTTGACAGTCTGGTTGACCATACTCTTGATTGATAAGAAACAGCTGACTGGAAAATGGGTGCTATATTTTTAATGACTCAGTCATAACAGGACATGTCCCAACGATGACGCATCGCTCCATCATCAGCCTTTCATCGCAGGAAATAGGAATGAATCTTCAGATGTGTTTTCCTGGAATGATTTATATTATAGACGGACAGTTTTATACATAGATGACCATTAAAATACACAGAATTGTACTCCATACCGTGTTTATTGTCAACAATAAGGTATTTTGCTGTTTGAATTAATAAACTTGTTAAATAAATGACTGATTTGCCCTTTTCTGACCGAGGGAAAGTACAGGAATTATAAGTCTTATCGCTATAATAACACGGCTCTTGTTGAAATGCGTTGATTTCTTTTTCCTGAATGACTTCACACATGAGTCGGGACTGTACAGCGGTCCACATTTCCTCCCTCGGCTTATCCTTTTGGGGAAAAGTCAAAACGCAGGAAGTGCGACGTGCTGCCCGGCTACACCCATTTGCTACTTGTTGACGGTTTCTGTGTCGATTAGCTTGAGATTTGGTCTCGAAAGTCATCGCTGAAAACTCCAGTTGGCTGTAAAAACAATATCCGTTCTCCAATGTCACGGCTGTAATTTCGTATGGCCAACCACATGGCTTTGAGACGGTGAGGTCAGCGTTCCCCACACAATGCCCCTTTTCAGGCCCGCTGTCAGTGAGGTCTTTATGCTGCTCTCGCTCGCTGCTGAACCGTCTCTGGTTTCCTCCTCAGAGTATCTTTCTCCTCCTCCGCCTCCTCCTCCTATGTTCTGTTACTCTGTGTGCTTTTCTCTCTGTTTTCCTTTCACTCTTTTCCCCTCTCTGTTAGACTCGGTCTCTTTTCCTACAGTCAGATGAGCCACTCTTCTCTTTGCTCTTCCTCCAGTGAAACACAAGACTCCAAGCCATATGGGAGTTCTCATAAATTCCAGGCTGCGTGTCACACATTTTGTCTTGGAAAGAGAAAACTAATGCACGCATGGCCAACACAACAGCCGTTGCTGCGGGCCTCGGGACATGCTGCAGCAAGGGGAGAAAAATCATCCTGCTTTAGGAGAGCAGAACACTAAAGCTCCCAGAGTCGTTTTTAATACTAAAGGGATTTATGATCTTTTACTTTACTGCAGCTTTTCTCCGCTTGTCCTTGTTGTGGCGTTACATCTAATTCCGATCTATGGTGGAGCATGAAAGCCTTAAGACTCTGAGCGTTAACAGAATAATGAGTGAATCTGAGAGAGCCGTGGCGTGACACAGGATGTTCTATCATCAAAGCAGCAGAAGCACAACGTGATATGGATACAAATGTGCAAATTAAAGACAGACGTGGTTATTGTTTTTATTACATGTTTACAATAAATTGCAGGACACTGACCTGTGTGCACTATTCGTTCCTGCTCTCTACATCTCTCTTTTAAAATTCCCCATTTCTCTTCTCCCCCCCCCCCCCACACACACACACACACAGTCCTCTTCTTCCCAGGAGTTACTGCACCAGTTGCCCTTCCAGCCCACGCAAGATGATCTCCACTTCCTGTTCAAACATTTCCGGAGCACGGAGAGTGTGGCGGACGAAGAAGGAGCACATGCCTCGCCTCCCGCCAGGCTCCGCTCTCGCAGTCTCAGGTAGCGTTTGATTTGAGTTGAACCGTAACAACACTGTACAGGTGAGAGGGAGGGCTGCCCACCTGGTCTTAGTTGACTTAGGACTAATCGATTAAAGAAATCCTTTCTTATGCTTTTTTCATACTGAATGACGTATTTCCAAGAATGTTTTGAGCACATATCTGTAAACACAAGTGATTCTTTGTGGAGAGACTCAGTTTTTACAGTTCTGTTGATTAAATAAACTAATCGCTTAGTCAACAAAACGTGTGAGACACCCAGTGTAAATACTGTTCATCTTTGTCTCATAAGCATTTCTGTCGCACTGAAATCCACTTGGAGAAGTGATAATTTGATCAGATTAGTTTGGTTTGAATAGATGGAACCAAAAGAAGAAGAAGGCGTACACTATTAAAGAGTCGCACCTCTACTGGCTAATGTTGGAGGTAAATGTTGAAATTACGCCCCAAAGAGAGAAGAGACCTGTCGCTGCTTTCATCGCTGTTAAATAAGTGTGATTACACTGTAAAAGTATCAAAGTACTTTAGTGTACCTGCGGCAAAGGCTACTGTCTACATAAATGTGGTGTTGTGTTGACACTATTTTCTCACAATGCAGGACACAACAAAAATGGAGGAGCTACTCACAGCTCATAAAAAGTAAAACCTCACACACCTGAGCTTGAGTGTGGCTAAACTACATTCAAGCTGGGTTGGTTAGCTAGTTATCCAAGCTAACCTTCTAGCTATACAAGTATTTATGTAGCGCATAGTTCAACAGGTAACTGATTAGCTACAGGTTGAACATCAATGACATGAGTTGAAACCAAAGAGGAGAGACAAAGTCATGTCTGCCATTTGTATTTTTCATTATTGAACCAAAGCTTCTCGTCTGACATCGTCATTTTCCTCTTAGCTAACATTTACTTGTGGGTTTTTTGGCCCAGACAAGAGGCGTGTCTCACCATAGCTGCCATGTGACTCTACTTTTGCTCCGCTGTGCTTAGAAACTGCTGCTGCACTAATTGAAGATGCTAGCTGACGCTAGCTGTGGAGCAAGAGAAAGACTTCCACCTCCAGATTCTTCAGGAATATAATGAGCAGCAGAGACAGACCCCTGTACATCTTCTCTCTATTACACAGCTGCTTACCCAAACATGGATTTGAAATACTTTTATGACTGTTAAACAGTACCTGCAAACCTGCAGTTAGCATAAGTGTGGTCCTTCGTAGCAGAGCTGTACACAGAAACGTAAACAAGCACAATTGGTAAGAAAGCTGCTCAGCCTCAAACCAACTAAAGCCTGACTTTCCGTAACATCTGTCATTTATGATCAGAAATAATGAATCACTGGCTGGAAGTATTTGGATATATATGGTGCAGTAATTATTTTATGTGGTCCTCTGTGCTGGTTAAGCCTGGATTAGCATATCTAGGGGATCACGTTGCCTCATCATTTAACATGGCCGCTCTCATTAAACACTTATACAAGCCCTCGAAATAGCTGTTGTCGGGAGGAGTTCTGAGGTTGCTGGAGACTTTAATAATGGGCTGTGGAGGGTGTTGTAACAATTTGATGGGATTGTTTTTTCTGTGACGTGTCCCTGCCCATATATGTATATATGGATGGATGGATTGATTGATTCATTGAACTTTATACATCCAGCAAAGCAGCATTTTCTTACAGATGGTCTCTTAATTTGACCCCTGATCAGTTGTTTACAGATGGAACATAATATTCCACAAACCCTCTAATATTTTTTTAAAGAGAGCGAGAACTCAACCAGGCTTTTGACTTTTGTAATGCTATCAAAAACACACCTAAATTACTGCACGCGTTGACTGTGGAAAATGAATACCGACAAGTGTCTATGTGGCTCTGGAATAGCTCAAGAGGGTGTGTTAAGCGTTTCTTATTGCCCTCAAATAGTTCCCTGAGCAACTGCAACTGTTGTGTCACCCAGAAATAGTAAAGTGCGTGTCACTTTACTATTGATATTGTTATTTGTAGTATGCGATGTATAGAGGCTCCCAGTATAGCTACTTCCAACATTTGTGATTGATTTGTAATGTGTCCGGACAGTTTTAAAGGTGCCCGCTCGTAACTGAAGCCCTGTGCACACAACAGATGTGGTCACGGATACTGCAGATGAGAACCTGATCTGAATCGCACTAGTGTTATATTCAAACATGCTGTGTTTGTGACCCGGGATGGCAGTAAACACCTTCAGTCAAACATTTGCAATTTACTCCTAAGACATTTGTAGATTTGATGTAGCTTTAACGAGACTGAAGCTTGAAGTGCAAGTAACTTTTAACATCTGTAACGTAAGCCTCTCTCCTCCACCCCCATGATCGGTTTGCAAATTTGTTTTTGTTTTGTATGATTCAAATTTAGCATCTATAAATGATGAACTATATCTGTGCAAACACATGATATTTAATGTTTTGGTTGTATTTTTTTTCATCCAGCCCTGGACGGACCTGTGGAACATTTGACAACGAAATTGTCATGATGAATCATGTCTACAAAGAACGCTTTCCCAAGGTATAGTCGGAGCTTTCTTTCTCTCTTTGACTCGTATTTGTTCAACATGTTCAGCTTGCAAATGCAACTCAATGTTAAAAGGCTATCTACCAGCGTGCGCTTGAGCTTTTTTTTTTTACTCATGGAAACCAGGACAGGAGAACACTCCCGGCAAAGTCCAAGTCCTGACTCGCTCACCTGTGGGGGGGGGGACCAAGTTAAAAGGAAGCGTTAAGCTGTCACCGTGTGTTAAATGAAGTCCTCCATCTCGGTTGTTTCGCAGGCGACAGCCCAGATGGAATGTCGGCTGCTCGACACCATTGCAGAGTTATCCCCCGGCACTACTCTGCCCCTAGCTGACGGGGTGCTGGGATTCATTCAGCACCAGTTGGTGGAGCTCGCCAGAGACTGTCTGGACAAGTCTCAGAAAGGCCTGGTCACCTCCAGGTACTTTGTGGAGCTGCAGGAGAAACTGGAGAAGCTGCTGCACGAGGTGAGTGTTTCTCATCTTTACCAGATGGGTTTGTTTGGGATTGTTATTCAGCCATGCAACTGTGGAGCCAGTGTTTGTTCCTCCTAAGACATCATCAGTGGATTTCTGATTGTTTGCAGCTCAGATATCCCTCCAGGACATTGCGTGCTGTAGCTTTACTGGACACATTACATTGAAATGTATGATGTGTTATCATTCAGTGCTGTTTCCAGTTCGCTGGTCAGTAATTGTGTTGTCATTTTATATGCTTACTTTGATCTGTGCAGTGGTCAAGTGTTATATAATGATTTCTTACATAACCTCTGCAGCACATGCTGCGTCCTGCAGAGCAGATTACAGATTTATCAGCTACAGTTGGCATAGTCGATGCAGTGCTTTCTTCTGTTCATCGAGTCTCTTGGTAGCTTAGTTCATCCTACAGTACAACAGTGACAGACATTATTTTGTCTAAAATTTCCACTAAAGCCACAATTCTGTAATTATTCTTCCATCTTGCCAATAAAGTGGTTTTCCAGCTTAGAGAAAGAATTTATTTTAAGCAGACGGTCCCTGCTGTCACATGTTAAAATGTTTCATTTTGTGCCTGTGCTCGCTCGTTCTTCTCTGGAATTATAATTGCAGTTTCGTAACACTGTTTTTCTTGGCAATTTTTGAAAGACTGCACCTTTTTTAAAAAAAAAAAAAAAAAAAAAAAAAAACTAATCCTGTAAGACATTTGACCGGGTAAAACACAGAGCCTGTTTCAAAGTGGTTCAGCTGTCTAAACTGCTGGAATCACTCTGACGCCACCTCTAACACAGTGGCAGTGAACTTGCTGTTTGACCAAGGCAAGGCAATGTTAGACCAAGATATGGACACAATGAGTGTCGATAAAAGTGTATTCGCAAGTGTTTCCTAATATTTATGAATCGGACAAGGCCGCACACAATACCTATATCTATTGAATCGCTAACAGATAGTGTGAGAAGATGAAATGGATGCTAAAAATAATATGAGCCAAAGTGCAGAAGTGGCCTCTGTGGGTGGGGATGCGCTGCCTCACGGCTCATTGGCCAATTGGATTAAGTCAAAAATAATAATCCATCGTCCTTTGTCCTTTGCCGATCAGGCGTATGAGCGATCAGAGAGCGAGGAGGTGACCGTCATCACCAAATTGGTCAAGAAGATTCTCATCATCATCTCGAGGCCGGCCAGGCTCCTGGAGTGTCTGGTAAGACTCACCACTGGCACACACTGCATCATGGGTACAGGAGTGACACAATATCAACATGACGCTCATCAGCTTGAACAAAATAACTCAACCAATAAATCACAACACAGGAGTTTGATCCCGAGGAGTTCTACCAACGGTTGGAGGCTGCAGAGGGTCAAGCCAAGGTGGGCCACGGCATCAAGACTGATATTCCCAAATACATCATCAGCCAGCTCGGCCTCACCAGGGATCCCTTGGAAGGTGCGGTGTTTATTATTATTACTTTTTGGTATTTTACCTTCTAAACTGTCTGTTTAGGCATTTTAGGATACTTTGTTTCAGATGAATTGTACTGCTTGCTTATTTTACCAGAGGAACTTCAGGATTTTCTAACTAACTTTGTTAAACAAATTTCACCGGGACACAGTAATGCTAGTGGCACTATTCCTACTGACATTTTCATTGTTGCAGTAATTATTCTTATTTTTATGTAGAATTTTATGCATTACAACATTTTATTGTCTTCAATAAAATAAAGGCACAACCTTAAATGTGTCCTGAAGGCACTTACTGTATAATCTATTGCACTTTACTGAACGTATTACTACTCTTTCTACTTGGTTTTGAGTTTTTATTCTATCTGTTCTTATTGTTGCACAGTTTTAAAATAAAATGCTCTCTACAGTAAGGCTTGCTTTGTATGACATTCAAGTCGAGTAGAGCATAATTCAGCTGAATTTTGAAAACATTTAATCAGCGAACAGAACTGAGACATTATAAAGTAATGATGTAAAAAATGTATATAATATAAAAGTATGCTTTGGGTACAGTGACAGTTTTCATTTTGTTTTGCATCCTTAGACAGTTTGTATCATTTGAAAACAGTTAAATAAGCACTTACTGTCTTATTTCATTTAAACTGAAAGGAGTTTGATCGCTGTGTCTGCTGCTGTTACAGAGATGGTTCATCTGGAGCAGACGAGTCCGGTTCACAGAGCGGCCAGCAGAGAGTCTGATGACGCGGGAGAGGCAACATCTCAGGTATAAGCTTATATTCAACAGTGGTTGCTTAAAGGCAATGATAGCTGCACTGAAGAAATATAAAACACTGACGGGGTTAATTACAATGTATTAAATACAGCTTAAGTGGGGAATAGAGCACTTGTTAATACAGGCAGACACATTATCACAATAACATCATAAAGTGCAGGAATTCATGCTTTTCAGAAGTCATGCAGCAACTAAGTTCCTGTTATTTTCCTTCTGTTTTCTTTTGGGACGTGTGTGATTCAGAGCCGAGCAGGCTCCACCCCTCCTCGTAGGAAACCACTGGAGAGCGACTTTGAGACTATCAAGCTCATTAGCAATGGCGCCTATGGGTGAGTAAAACAGACTTCTTTGTTTGCGTCCGACTGACTCAGTCTCTTTGTGGGCACCACAGAGAGCCCAATAAAACCAGAAAAGAAACTAGAATGAGGATGTGTTGTTGTAGTATTTTTGTGTTTACACGTAGAATTTGTCTGGGCAATTTCATTTCAAGTCTGAACTGATGTTCCCCAGTAAGTGATGCGTATGTTTCCTCATCTTTTGTTCCACCTTATTTCCCCTGTTTAATTGCTCAACGTATCTCCCTTCGTACCTCTCATTCCCTTATAAACCCGCTGCTTGTCTTGTAATTGTCCTTCTTTCTCCTCTTTTGTCGTCCTCCCTTCTTTCTGCCGCCGTGCAGGACTGTGTTTCTGGTGCGCCACAAGGACACCCGTCAACGCTTTGCCATGAAGAAGATCAACCGGCAGAACCTGATGCTTAGAAACCAAATCCAGCAGGTGTTTGTGGAGCGAGACATCCTCTGCTTTGCTGAAAACCCATTTGTGGTTTCTATGTTCTGCTCCTTTGAGACACGGAGGCACCTCTGCATGGTCATGGAGTATGTGGAAGGTGAGCTTTGAATTGCCCATGCATATGTCCATTTATTTCCCAGGTATATGGCACACGAAACTAATATAATATAATATTCTTTTTAGTCTTTTTTGCCATCTGTAAATGCAAAAAAGTCAGACATCCAGAAAGCCTAAACAGAATCATACTGTCTTTGCACTTTAAGGTGGGGATTGTGCCAACCTATTGAAGAACATTGGTCCTCTGCCTGTGGACATGGCTCGGATGTATTTTGCGGAGACTGTCCTGGCTTTAGAGTATCTTCACAACTACGGCATCGTACACCGAGACCTGAAACCTGACAAGTGAGTCCTCATTTCACATATTTCCTTTTTTCTTTCTCTGCTTTGAGGCAGCACCTAAGTACTTTCGAGCTCTCGTCATTTTTAGACCTGTCCTCGTCTTGAAGGCAATCATTTTGAAGTTGGAGCAAAATGTTCTGAAACAACCTTTTGATATTTTTCACCAAGTCTGAGATCTATGTTTTGAAGTTAGCGTTTGATGTACCATGAAACATTTCTGTTTCCATCTTTTGTAGTCTGTTAATCACCTCCCTGGGACACATCAAGCTGACAGACTTCGGGCTGTCAAAGATCGGACTAATGAACATGACCACCAACTTGTATGAAGGACATATAGAAAAGGATACCAGAGAGTTCATCGACAAACAGGTTTGTCTCTTCTCATCTTTTCATCTCGTCTGTTGTGTTTATGACCTTAACTGACATCGAGCTTCACTCTCTTCGTCTGTCTTTCCTTGCTACAGGTGTGCGGCACTCCAGAGTACATTGCTCCAGAGGTGATCCTGAGGCAGGGCTATGGGAAGCCAGTGGACTGGTGGGCTATGGGTATCACCCTCTATGAGTTCTTAGTGGGCTGTGTGCCTTTCTTTGGAGACACACCAGAACAGCTCTTTGGTCAGGTGGTCAACGGTAAGTGCATTGCTACTGAGTCGCCACATGCGACTTTTCCACACACAAATCTTGCCTGATACAAGTTTAATTATTTTGTTTATTTTAGTCTCGGGTTATTGGCCATCACCTCAGGTTTATTCAATGTTTCTGTGTGATTAAATACCTTCTTTGTATCACTGGTATGTGCTTCCTTGTCCAGATGACATCATCTGGCCTGAGGGGGAAGATGCTCTGCCAGCTGATACGCAGGACCTCATCACCAGACTGCTGAGACAGAGCCCTCTGGATCGTTTGGGAACAGGTTGGTAGCAGAGGGGCTTATGGTGGACAAGGCCCTATAGAGTACAGCCTGCTAGGTCCCAGATGCATAGAACTGTTAGTCTTCTGTAAGTGTTGAAATTATTTAAGTTGCCCTTTCACTTTAAAAAGAAACTAATTTGAGCCATTATTGTGGCAGCATTTGATAGGATTTTTCCAACAAATACAAAACAAACACACCTTTACGCTTACCTGAAAGCTGTGATAGTGAGAGTTGATATCTTGAGTGAGGCAGAGCTGTGGTAAACAAAGCTCTGACTGGTGAAAGCTCCAGAAACTATTGACCTGAGTATGTTAAGGTATCAAGGGAGACACCGTGCAGAAATCGGCTGAGGAGGGGCTGTAAACCACGCCCAGATATGAAAGCCAAACTTATTTGTCTGATTTTATTTATTGTTTTTTTCCAGGTGGAACCACGGAGGTGAAGATGCACATGTTCTTCTCGGGTTTGGACTGGAACGGCCTCCTGAGACAGAAAGCTGAATTCATACCTCAACTAGAGACTGAGGACGACACCAGCTACTTTGACAGTAAGTGGAAGAGCCGTTAGATTTATGGACAAGTACACACCTTTCATGATCTATGGTCTGCATGTACACAGACAAACCTAGACCACAACAGAAGGACAGAGGACTAAGAGAGGGCTGCAGAGACTTCATTTTACTGTTACGTCTTTTGGTCATTATAGTTTGGATAAAAACAGGGTCACCAGTTCTTCATTATTTAATACACTATCATTGTGTTTCCCACAGCCCGATCAGAGCGCTACTGTCACCTGGACTCAGATGATGATGACGATGATGAAACCAACGATGATGAATCATCTCTGGAACTTCGACAGTTCTCCTCTGTGGCCCACCGCTTCAGCAAGGTACTCATTTGTCTTCACCTACAGAATATTTCACGCATTATATTTAGATATGTCATTAAAAGAAATATCTTAACTTAACTTCTCTTTGGTAAAATGAAGCATTGGTATGAAGTTTGAGGAAACAGTCCTCCCGATTTCCTGATTAAACATCTACATTTGATTCTTAAACTCTAGGTGTACAGCAGCTCAGAGCACCTGTCCACCTCCACGCCGTCCAACCAGAGCCTGTCGTCGTCGTCAGAGCGAAGCCACAGCGAGGAGAAGGAGGAGCGGTGGGAGGGAAAGGGAGTCCTCTCCCCTGGCGATGGACACAAACACTTGGCCAGTGGAGACAGGAGGACAGATGGACACAGGGGGAGGTGGGAGCATGAAACGTGAGAGGGTGATATCCTTGTTATGAGAGAACAATTATTACAGCCAGCCCTCATTCTCGCCTCAGCTTTCTGAAATATGTGAGATCGAAGTGTAAAATTCTCTCTCGTTAAATATGAAGCACTTAATATTCAGAATGAGAATTTTTTTTTTTTTAGAATAACACAATACTGTATAACATACCAGAGCTCATTCACCTGCTCGTAAGGAAATGCAACGCAGACTAAAACAAATAGGGGGAATCTAGATTTATGGAGTTTTTTTTATTCCATGGATGTTCCATAGTTTTTCACAGGGAAAACACTGTTGCTTACTCAATAGTTCTATATATGTATGTACAGGATTTACTGAAATTCTGCATGTTTACTGTGTTTTCCTATCAGTCTGCGTCCTCGTGCTTCGTCCAGCTCCTCCCAGTCAGAGCGCAGTGCCAGCCCACTGGTGATGAACAGCACCCAGAGCCTCGACATCATGCCTCGCTTCGCCATCTCTGCCGAGGAGGAAGGTAAGGCCGACACACGCAGATCTCTGTACATTGTCTTCTCCTGCAGCAGTTGTGAAACACCAGTGCTCATGCTCTGTACCTCCTGATTCTAGACGGGATGGTTTCCAACTTGCGGCGCATTCGGCTCCGAAGCAACAGCACAGGCACCAGGCCATCCTTCCGAAGAGGGGCGTCCCGGCGCATCTCCCACCAGCTGGAGACCCCAGAGAAACCCAGGCCCTCAGCTGGAAAAGTCCCCAAGTCCGCCTCTGTCTCTGGCCTGTCCCTCATCATCACCCCAGGTAGACGGGATGATAATGACTACTTATGTGTTTACAGTTCCCTCTACAGCGTGATGCTGGTTAATTTACCCACTAAACACACAAACCATGAATACTAATACTGTGCCAAAAAAAGAATGATGTCACTTGACGAATTATGATGTTATCCCATTTCAATTATTTAACTAAGAATGACACATATAGTATAATAACCTTCATTTTTAGCATTGGTATTATGATAGTTTGGTGCAAGAACTTAACGATTAACATGCAATCCATAAACTCTCATCCGTTGACCTTTCTAATCCTCTTCTCCTGATCCAGATGACTCAGCAGGTCCTCCTACGAGCCCCAAATCCTCCTTGTCCCTGTCGTCCAATCCCTCGTCCAGAGACTCGTCCCCCAGCAGGGACCTCTCCGTGAGCATCAGCTGCCTCAGGCCTCCTGTGGTCATCCACAGCTCTGGGAAGAGGTTTGGATTTGCGTTGCGAGCTATCAGAGTCTACATGGGAGATAGTGACGTCTACACGGTTCACCACATGGTCTGGGTATGTGTCCTCATCTCAGTCCTCAAATGTTGTATCTTCAATGAATTTGGAGTGTAATTATGAAAGATATTTAGTTCTAAAAATAATATATTCAAACAACTTTTGGGGTCTTCGGGTTTTCTTCTCGATGGCCCTAAAAGTCAAGAGTAGAGAGACTCATTAATTGTGCCAAATCAACTCTGCACTTTATATTTTTATGTATATATTTTGATTTATCTGATGCTGTGCATAAATGTGTTCATAAAACCTTGGTTGTAATAATTACATGGGTGTCAGTCATGGTACCAGCCGATTAGATGGTTGCTCGGCCAGTCATTTTAATCTGAGGTTGTGTGTTTGTGTCCACAGTGTGTTGAGGAAGGCAGTCCAGCACACGAGGCAGGACTGAGAGCCGGTGACCTCATCACTCACGTCAACGGGGAGTCGGTCCAGGGACTCGTCCACACCGAGGTGGTGGAGCTCCTGCTCAAGGTACGAGGATACAGTATCTTTCATTTGAGTCATGTTTCTGCATGCTTATTGTATATTTTGATGATTACAATCTGTTTTAAGTGGTAAAAGTCTAAATGTACTTCTGAGTCTTTATCAAACACTTTGTGTAAGTGATAACACATCATGCTCTACTCTTAAGAGGGAATGCCTTACAGATGGTTGTTTATGTTGATGGTCTGTTTCCAACAGAGTGGAAACAGGGTGACCCTGCAGACTACTGCACTGGAGAACACTTCTATCAAGGTGGGCCCTGCCAGAAAAGCGAGCTACAAGGCCAAGATGGCCCGACGCAGCAAGAAGAGCAAAAGGAAGGACGGACAGGACAGGTACATGAGGGGAGAATGAAGTCATACGTAGCAGCAGCTGCATTACTGTTAATTAGGAACGCCCGTCTAAAGTTTAGTATTCGTTTCAGACAACTTAGACGACTGCAGTTAACCCTCATAAAATTCCATTCTCCAAGTTTGTTTCTTACATTTTTGGACCGTCTAAGAGACTGCATTGGACTGACTTTTTGTAGCTTGACTTTAAATGGTTCTGTGGCCCCTGCATTTCGTCCGCCTCTCTCTACCCCTTCCTACGTCTATCCTTAGCTGTATATCTAAAAAAAAAAAAACACCCAAAAATAATCTTAAAAAAACTAAACCGATGACTCAAAAAGACCGATTCACTGATGAAGCTTTGATAATTGCTGTTGTATGAAATACAGTTCAATGGATGTTTCTGGAGGTTGTGTCTTTTTCTTTGGCTGTTGTTTCACCTCTTGCTCTTTATTTTGGCTCATTGAAAGAGACTCTTTGTACTCAAGTACAGTAAGTATGCAAAGAACAATATCATAGACAAAACACACACCTGACACCTCTTTCCTCTTGCGCAGCCGGCGACGTAGCATCTTGAAGAAGCTGTCTAAGCACACACCTCCTCCGCCCATGCAGAGCAGTCGTAGCTTCTCTTCGGGTTTCCACCAGTCATCCAGCGACAGCCTCTCCGGCTCCCCCACGCAGAGTCTCTCTCCTGGGCCTTCTACGCCTTGTCGCTCTCCTGCTCCTGATCACTCCGGAGGTGAGTTGCATCCCAAAAAGGGGAGCTGTCAATCTCTTTGTGTCTTGTGTTTTTAGCGTTTTATCTTTTGAAAAATATCTACTAATGCTTTTTTTTTTTTTCTCTCTCTTTTTGTCAGATTCAAGTTCCTCTCCTTGCTCCAGCTCCCCTAACTCGCCGGTCCCACAGGCCCGTCCCAGTTCCCTACATGTCTTGGGTCGCTACACCAAAGCCGGGCGCTGCAAGTCCACCACCAGTATCCCTCCTTCACCGCTGGCCTGCATCCCCCCTCCTCAGCCCCTCTCTCCCCAGTGCTCTCCATCTTGCCTCCCCAGTCACCCCAAGTCTCTACAGGGTTTCCATGGCAAGACGTTGTCCCCTCCCACTATCACACGCCATTCTGTGCGTCCCCGCAGTGCAGAACCGCCGCGGTCACCGCTCCTCAAGAGGGTCCAGTCGGCAGAGAAGCTGACGGGAGACAAGATGACGGGGGGGTACCACGGAGATAGGAAGGCCTACAGCACCCGTCGCCACACCATGGAGGTGCCTCTGTCTGAAGGGGAGGGGCTGGAGGACTTGGAGGGGGACACCGCCACCGGGTTCGTCTGTGTCGGTGAGCATGGCCGCCAGGGTCTGTACATAGGAGGGCAGCGAGGCCACCAGGACGCAGCCAGTGGAGGCGGCGAGCATTACCGCGCTACCGCCTCGCCACAACACCGCGGTGGCAACCACCACTCCAATGAGGTGGTGGTGATGAGGAAGCTGGCGCTGTCGGAGCGAAGGGACTCCTTCAAGAAACAGGAGGCCGTGCAGGAAGTGAGTTTCGATGATTTGGAGGAGAGAGAGGCAACGCCGAGCCCAACGCTTCCTGTCACGCAGCAGAAAGCGTTCAAGGCGTCCTGGATCAACTCGGCCCAGTCAGAATCCGATGTGAAGCTGGAAGGAAGTGGATCACAGGGTACAAAAACACCTCAGAAAGCCAAGTCGAAAGACAAAGGGTTTTAGTCTTTGACCTGCTACTGTACTTGCATATGAAGGCCTTGCATGTGTGTCCAGAAGACTGTGACCAAGTCCCAAATCATCACAAGCAACTGCTTGAAGACGGAAGAACAAATTAACATTGATGTATCTCAGTAATATATGCATCCTGCAACACTAACAGAATAGTGACTGCTAAACTATGTTTACTTCCTCGTTGCTTGTTTTCACCCTCGGTTCTCAAATCACTGTGGCACCTGTAACTGATGTAATTTGTAAATATTTTTGTTTTAAATGAAGAAACCTATTTATGACTTTTTATGTTGAAAATGCCTTGGACGCTTCAGCTGCTCTTAGTTCAGGAAAGGCACAAGAGAAAAGCCACACACATACTCTGTGTGGTTTTACAGCAGGTGCAGAAGAAGAGGGCAGGTAAACATCAGTAAATATCGTACCATATTTCTTTTATACCTCAATGCCTGCCTACAACTGGGTGTTGTTTCATGTTCAGATTGGGTCTTTGAAACAAACTGGCAGTGTTTGTCTTGCAACATATAATGTATATTATAGAATCTCTGCCTCTCTGTCACACGGGTTGTGGAGGCAACCATTTGAACTAAGCGATCCCAAAGTTAGGCCTCGTATGAACATTTCTTTTGAAGGATAAAAAATATCAACGTTCTTAATACTTGGAAGTCTAGCTGTGGTGCCAAAGTATGGTTTAGCCATCGGAACCATTTGAAAAGAGGTACTGTAGTTGTATATAAGAAGCTTCATGCATGCATGGGCTCTACTTTCACTTCCTGTCCGTCCTGTAAAACAGTGTGTCCCTCCTCTAGCAGAGGTTTGAATCATGACCTGCTCAACACACAGGTCTGTAGATAAAGCTTCGTGACTCCATGAAACCGGGCTGTTGTCGCCGTCCTCTTAATACCTTTGTTGAATCAAGCCCCCGTCCAGCTCCATAACCTAGTCTAGCTGAAGTGTTTGCACAAGTCATAGTAGCCGTATAACAGTTAGAGCACATTCATGTTTCAGGACGACTTCCTTCTGCGTAGGATTCAAAAATTGTACAGTGGATGCAACAAACTTGTTCCCGTTGGCTTGTTTTCTTTTAATGCGTGTTATGAATGAATGTTTACATTTTAGTGCAAATCTGTGTGTGGACTTGTCATGGTTTTTAGTTAAATTATTATCAAAAAAATGAATGAAATTCAACCCGAGGCCCTGAGTGGATGAAGGACTGAGTGGAGGGGGTCTCCTTTTGTATGTTTTGATATGGAAACAGTTGTGTTGCAGTACTAATAGCCTATGCTGTTGATGTGTGTCGTATAAACAATGGTGGACCTTATAACAGCTGTTGGTGGTTTTTGAAAGTGACCTTGTAAGGGTAGATGGACTCAGATATGTTGTGTAATGTGACGGGGTCCTAATCTCATGTTGCGACCAGCCTCAAAGCATTGTGCATGCTTCACATCCCAGTAGAATATTCCCACAATTTTAAAACATATTTTACTTTTTCTTTAAATGCTCTTGGAAGTTATAAACCCAAAGGGCCTTGAATTCTTAAATGTGATGCCCAGTAACAGATTTGAGCTTTAAAATTAGAGTTTTGTTAAGAAATGTTCACATACAGGATTTGGTTTGCAGCTCTGTATTCTTTATTTTATACTTTTGTGGCCATTTTGAATCTGTTTCTTATTGTTTTCATTCAGTTCAACCGTTTGCATCAGTAACCAAAAAATGCTTCCGGTCTCGTTTCAAAGGAAAAACTTTTGTTTTGTGTTCTTAAATTTTATGATGGCACACATTTGTATTTTTGCCTAATTGAGGGAACTGTTAATATGGGAATTCATAACGGATGTTTAGCACATACTAAGCCTTGGAAGGTGGTGATAGATTGTGTGAGTTAGAAGTTTGTTCGTCTGCTTAGCGGAAACTAAACGGTGTGTCTGTATAGGATTTATCCCTGAATTTCTGATGCAATATACATCTTGGTATGTTCTTTTGACTTGATGTTTTTATTTTTTACCCCAACCAACCAGTCTTAGTATCTCTTGACCCTAAGTTGTATCATCATTTTATACTTTTCTTAAGTGAAGACTGGAGATCTCAGCAGCAGTCCATACCAGCGGTCAGAACGACTCTTCTCTCTGTTTTTGCCAGCCTGTGTGTGATAAACTCCATGTCTTCACAACTTGTCCTCCTCCGTCTTGTTTTTCTTCCACGCTCGTTTTAGTGTATTAAAAAGTTGTCGCTCTCCATTCGACCCCTTGTCCCCAAATGTCAAACTGGCCTTTATGAAATATCTGATGCAGACTGGTGTGACATTGTTTTTTTTTATTGTCTTAACAGTGCTTGAAATAAATGCATTACAAAGGGACTACGAAGTCCAGGACCACAAAGGGTTGTGTCATTTGTCCCTCATACAACAGTAAATGCAGTCACGCAAGTCTGTGGCACCATAAACAAAAATAATCTTTCAGAATAAGAACCAGCTTTATTGGCCATGTATGCATAGTACGCATACATGGAATTTGACTCCAGTTTTTATGTTGCTCTACAACATACAAAATCTAAACATACACAGAATATACAAATAAACAAATATATACATATAAATAAAAACAAGGACAAAGTAGAACAGAGGTAAGCATAAACATTTAACTACTATGTACAATATAAATATAGATCCAGAAGTATATATATATGAACATAAAGAACAACAATGGAATTGAGGTATTAGTGCAGTATGTCTGTTTCTTTGGTGTACTGGTGATCAGATATTGCACTCTACACTGATAAATACAACAATGATCACTCTGTGATGTAATAATACATTGGGTAATGTTTGACTCACTCTAGTAAGTACACAGATACAATCCAGGTTTTGTCCTTTGCAGCTGTTCCTTGTACTGTTTTCGCATATTAAATCTAAAACAGGAAGTAGATGAGCTGGAATAATCTTTGAGCCTTGAGAACCGTAAGATATTATTAGTAAAAAACAAAAGGGACTGGAACTGAATATGAGAAAATCAGATACGGATTTAACATGTAGTGTTTTTCATAGGAACAGGATTATTTGCCATAAAAAGAGGTCTTAAAGTACACGGTAGCAGCAGTTTCAGATTGTCAGGTTTAAATTTCCATTGTGGGACGAGGCCATCCGGTGACCCCTCACTAATCGTTCGGACTTTTCCGCTCGGCTTCGTCTCTTTCCGCGCTCCGCATATTAGTTCCCACGCACTCTCCTTCCCTGCGCCGTGCGGAGTTGGAAAATGGCTGTGTAGGGGAGCAGGGAGTCATGAACGGGAAAAGAAAGAAAGAGCGAGAGAAAGAAGGCGAAGCAATACGTGAACAGAAGGACTGCTGAGAAGACTTATTGCACAACGAGAAGTTATCGTCCGCAGAGAAGTCGTCACGCGGACTCTCGTCTGCTACTTTAAAGTGTTTGAAGCGCCGCAGCACAGAAGTGAGAAGAGTCAAGAAATATCCGCGGGTGAGTTTTTCGAAGTTATTGCACATTTTCCAGTAACAGCCACTGTACTGGAAAATGGTGGAAGCGCTGCAAGTGTTCTCTGCGCACGCAGCTTCACACTGTTGACTCGTGCCCCAGTTTAAAAGTTTAATCTTCAAGATTTATTTTTCCTCGTGTATTTAAATTTGTTGCGCAGACAACATTGCGCTACAATGTAACGTTAATATTTACTCGTGCAGCACGTTGCTCGCGCTTGTCGACAGTTGCCGTGTGTTCAAGCTGAGCCCGTTAAGTTAACGTTACTGAAACATTAACGTTTGTTTTGGAGTTTACGTTTATTATTTAGTTGTTCAGTCGTTCATTGTTGACACGTTGGTTCATATACGGAGAAAAACAACAACCTTTTAATCTCTATTAGCTCATAAAGTTGTCAATTCATGCAGAAATGAAACCTCCGAGTTCAGAGTTTGTGGCTTTTTTTAATTTTAATGTTTTAATTTTTTTTTTAGCTTTTTAGCGTAATACTGAAATTCAAATGTTTCTGAGATTTAAAAAGTTGTAGTCTGAAACACTAATAAGCCAAACTTCGCAGTGTACAACATTGATAGTATGTGACACTAGCGCCTTTACATTGACTGCAGCCTATAGGAGAACAGGCAGTGTGGAGCCCCAACACAGCTGAAGGCCTGATATGATGCGCGTGTGTGTGCGCGCGTGTGTGTGTGTCTGTGCGCGTTACAACCCTGGTTTGAGGATTTGGCACGCATCAAGGAGTTAATAGAAATTGTGCTACTTGCATAATAAGACAAGCCACTCAACTGTGTGGAGACCCCTCCTCTTTCTCTCGTGTAATTACTGAACACAGCATTATGCAATCAAATGTCAATCCTCCATTATACAGCTTCATCAATGTGAAGTGCGACTTGTGGCAAAGCCTTCATTCTTCTTCCAAATGTCTTTTAAAATGCTCCGGACGACTCGCAGGGCTTGTTGCATTAAAACTTCCCAAAGAAGTGGAGCATTCGTAAAAATGCCAAGTGTCACTCCTCGACTTCAAGTTCCAGCAGACGCAGTACAGCTGTGGTTATTTTTGTTATACGTCCTTCAGCTAGTTAATGCTGTTATTTAATTGTAATGGCAGCAGAATACGTCTTTAAGTACAGCTCGGACGTGGCTCCACTGTAAATGCTGCAGAGGCCGGGCCAAGAAAAACCAAACGTCTGATGGTGAACAAAAGTATGATTTTATTAAAGTTTCTGGGAGATAATTAAGTCTGTATGCACAACACTGAGTACAAATCTAGTTAGACACTCGTAATACAATTTTTGGAAACCTATCCTGCGTGTGACCGTGTCACTGACCTATTGACTTATTGTTTTTCTAAGAATCAGAATTTGTCTCAGTTCTTTTGCATTTCTCTTGATGTATTTACACAGAAATAGAAATAACTGGAATTCCCATGATATTGACAAACTGAGGGCCAGACAAATGCATCAATGATCAAAAAAAAAAAATGAATTTGATGTAGGTGCCACTTAATTAGTATTACTTCATCACCAACCAAGTAAAAGCGGTTCCTTATTAATCTCTCTGTGTTGTGGTGAGATTAGTATTCGACTATATTTGTCATTGTTGTGTGTTTACAATGGAGGCCACTGTATGCTACCTGCATTTATTCATGTTGAGGCTAATTAGAATGGGTCTGGGTCAAGGTTCAGGCTAACTAACATGCTCACGATGCAGCAAAAAGGCTCGTGGTATTTTGAACTGGTGAGGATTTGTCCGATTTGATTTCTTTGTTGCTGTCAAAATGTTTTAATTGAAAGGCCTGGTCGCATGGACTTAATGTAGCATTTTAAATCCGCTGAGCCATTGAATCGCCCGCATTTTATATCTTCATAAATACAGCGAGTCCTCTTTTGCCTTTTTGGTGTAGTTGACGTTTCGGCACAGTACCGTCTCAGTGCTGCATAATCTTTGCAGCAGATGTTTCTACTTAACGAAGTGAGCGTTTCAGCTTCATTAAGGACAGATAGAATTCAGGTGAACATCACTTAAATCATACGCTGCGTGATGCTTTCGCCCCCGTTTTTAGGCTGAAAAATGAGTCCTCATGAGCTCCTGTGTGGCCGGCTGGCCTGTCCTCGCTGCCTGTGGCGCAGTAGATTTTTCAGTTCCATGTGGACAGATGGCCCGAGGCCAGGCTGCATGCATGGTGGCTCTGTAGTCAGCTCCTCACCAGCAGGGCCGTGAAGGGCCAATGCATACACACACACTTTAAAGCATTAGCTGTGTGTCCACGGAAATGTCTGGATTATGTACGATGCATGTTTTTGTTTCGGTAAAAGTCACTTAAAGACAACAGAAAACTGCTTGATGCATGAAAGCCATAAACTGTGTCTCTGAGACAGCAACTTGTTACTTTGATCCTTTTATAAATATAATAAAAGTGTAGAAACTAAGACAATATTCTTAAACTCATCCGTGGGCTGAACTGCTGCTGATATTTGGGCTGGATTTTCCCCGGCATGTTTCCCTTTGAACTTTCAAAGGCATTGTTCAAACGCTGGGTTCACCGAATTCTACCCTGACATGCATAGATGTGTCTTAAATGTGAAGTCACGATTGATGATGATTGATGGTGGGTTGAAAAGTGAAAATGAACACCCTCGGGTCTTCTAGCTGATAGCTGGGTGATAGATTGACAGGAGAAATAATTTACATACATGATAGAGGTATGTTTTATGTAGGTAATTAATATAAAACTAAACCTATACATTGGCCCGGACGATATATCGGCTGATATTCAGCTTGTTGTAGATCTATTTAAATTGGTTTACAGTCAGTCGGTACAGAAATGTGTTTATGTTGAGAAAAAAAATATATGAACTGGTATCAGTATTGGCGTCAAAAATCCAGTATCAGTCGGGCTGTAAAAAGATAAAATAATATTTTTCTGATTAATTCTTTTCAGATTTTTTTTTAATCAAAGTAATAAAGTAGCTCAATCTGATCTGGATCAGCCAAAACGAGTCCTGGCTGGTTGTTTTAGCCACCTCTAGAAAATGTACTGTACCATGATCTATCAATATTACAAAATCATACAATGTGAAACAAGATGTATGCATATCACCAACTCATGACACATACATAATGTAAATAGTGTAGGGCTGCAGCAAACTTTCACTTTCAAAATCAAGTCATCTGCCAGTTATTGTCTAAGTTAATCGTTCAGCTTATACATCATAAAGAGAAAAATGTCAAATTCATGTTTTTTTTTGTTTTTTTTTATATTTAGTGTACCAACAGTCCAAAAACCCACGGATATTTATTTTACAATTAGATAAAACAAAGAAAAGCAGGAAAAACTCACGTTAAATAAGCTGGAGCCATTAAAATGTTTGTCATTGTTGCTCGAAAAATATGTAACAATTAATCAATGATAAAAAAGAACAATGCTCCTTATTTTTCTGGGAATCAACAAATCAGTTTATCAGCTAATTGTTTCAACTCTTAATTCGTCTTTTTATGTACAAATTGATAACTAACTACCTCATAATTTTCACATAAATATTAAAAGACCAACAGTAAAAAAAACTAAATCTATTGAAATACAGCAAGTGCAGTTTAACACGGAATAAAATGAACAAATGATTAAACAAATCAACATACATGTCGGTCTTCAAGCATCGTCAGTAGCTCCTGTCTCACTCGACTGTGTTAGTGATGCTCTGAATAGCTTATTTTTGCCATTTTGCATTATGCATACTGGTGTATAACGAGCAGGTCAGAGCTCCACTGGCTCACTAAACACACCGAGTCTCGTCTGATGTCTGCAGACAGCAGAGGAAAACCTAGATGTCATTTTTAATTCAATCTGGCTTTTGCTTTTCCCCCCGCAGTTAAACTAAATGTCTGTAAAATGAATGACGGTGGAAATATTACTATGTATATTATAAAATACAGCGCCATGTTATAATGCACGTGTACTATTTACCACATTAGTATACCAGCAGTTTGTTGTAGTTTCTCACAGTGTTTCTCTTTAATAAATCCCAGAATGCATTTTTCTTTCATATTTTTGGGGATATGACCATCACATTTATCCTCCTGCCAACTCCAGAAAAACAAAAATCATCTCCTTTCATCTCATTGCACCACTTCAATATGACTCATGGAATTCCCTCCAATCACACGCAGCCTTCAGGTTTTTCCATGCTATGTTTTTCATCACTATCCTTTGATTTAAATCATCATTTCATGAACGGTGATGAGCAATCATCAAGGCAGCAAAGATGAAGAAAGTGTGTGTGGGAAGAAAGGTGTAGTTGTTTGGGTCAGACGTTTGATCACTGCCCAGATACATTTTCTAATATTAGAACATTTCCTTGATTTGCCCGGCTTCTCTGGTGACTCGGGAGCACATGGCCAGAGCAGCAGCCAATCAGAGCGCGGGATTAGCTTTCCCTCTCTCTAGCAACAGTGAGTTACTTGCCGCCTATTCATTAATTATTTTCCTGTGGTCTCCCTCAGCCGTTTCGACTCTGCTGATAACAAAGTGCTCCGTCTCTCGCACTCACTCTGGGTTTTTTTTCACTACTTTCTGTCGCTCTCTGCTCTGACTGAATAAAAGTCTTTTTAGAAAAGGATGGATCCAGTGACACTGAGCTTGCCAGCTGCTGCTGCTGCTGCCCTGAACTGTGAGCTACTACGACACTATCAGACCAGGACTGTAACAGAGAGGACACTCCTCTCACCTCGTACGACTTTTTTCTGCTCTGGAACTAAATAATAAAGAAGGACTACGGAATGAGAGCGCTCCCTGCACACTGCTGTTTCTTTCACTTCCTCTTCGCCTTGTTTTTACCTCTTTTCTGCAGCAGTGCTCTTGACAGTAAACAAATAATACATGGCAACTGGAAAAAAACGACTGGAGTTTTTTCGCTGGCTGAGGATGGCGGGGGGGCGGGGAGTTGGAGGCAGGACTGTGTGTGTGTTCGGGGGCTGGGGGGGTGGGGTTCGGAGAGCAGGTGGAGAGAGGAGGGAGGAGGGAGTTTCGGGGTGGGGGGGTTATGGTGGTGTGAGGATTGCGGGCTGTGGTTGGGTATGCCAGTGCCACGTGTCTAGCCTGGCACCTCTCGCTTCTCGGCTCGGAGGATGTTGGACCGAGAATCTGGCCGAGCCTGTCCGGCTCCTCTCTCAACCAAAAGTGGGGTGAGTGTTGCACTCTGCTGCTTCCTGTTGTCACGATAACTCCCTAAACCTTTCTTTAAAAGACAATATTGTTACTCACAAAGGTTTGCAGTGTCTGTGCGTTCGCTTTACGAATGTCATGGTGAGGGAGGGGGGGGAGGATAATCTAGACTAAAGTCCGAAAGCAGACACTTTGGCATTCAAAGACGCAAATCGGAGGTTTAGGTTTATTTTTTTTATGCTCTAATTTTATTTTATTGAAGCATCCGCAATGCATCACTCAAAACGTTGTCCGTTCAGAAACAGTAAATGAAATGATTGCACAACATCGGGCCTCGCAAACCAGGCCCATGGTTATTTGGATTTGGATGTTTTGGGAAATTGCCCCAAATAGCTCCTTACTCCTGGCGTAGGAGAGCAGAACTTCCATCCACCGTCCTGTGTGTCCCTCTCCCTCTCCTCACTGACGTCCTCTCATCCCGTCCAGTGAGGTTAATGCCACCATTGTCGCTGGTTTGGTCCACAGATTCACTTAATCTGGTGGAAACTCTCTCTCCTCCTCGCTCCCTATCTCATCTCTCCGTATAGTTTACATTTTAACTTTGAGGCTTTTTTATTTTTTTGTCCCACTCAAATCTCACCAATCTCAAAGCGATACATACATTTTTCCATATAATAATAATAATAATAATAATTGCGCACTTGTGCGTGGCATTTTATTGGGCCTTGCAATCATCTTTATCAGAGAATATTCGCCATAGGTCCATGCATGACCTCTTTGCTGTATATAGATAATAAGATACGATGTAGTGGGATGTTATGCATGCAAACATTTGCTTTTAAGTTGTATTTTCTGAAGTTGTGCCAGTCTTTGGTTGTTCAGATGACTGTCCATTCAGTATTTTCATCTTGAATGGACTTGGTACAGTATGATTTAGCTATTTTGACAGAATGAAGCCAAAAATATTTCTGAGGCAACACAGAGCTGCCTTTTTTTTTTCTCTCTCTTCTCTATTACGGAGAGGGAACTGTTGCGAAGGGTTCTGCATGTTTCAGAAAATTTTGGTCACCCTACAGCCGTGATGCAGGTCCTAGTTTCCTTTTTGCGTGCTCATTCTGCGAAAAACGTTTTCCTCGCCATTTTGCATGGGTTTCTTTGGACGCTTGCAAATCGCACATGTTGTTGCGTAAGTTGAAGGGACGTTCATTTCACAGTGAAACTTCTTGTTCCTGTGGAAGCTGATGTGTCAGTTCAGGCTGTGTTGTGTAGAGTGTAGAGTGGAGGGATTGGAGGCTCCTGTCCAGGGACCCAGTCTGCTGTTGGTCATGACGCAGCAGCATCATCCGATCTCTCCGTCCTAACCGAAGACTGCACGAGTGCACGGAGCTGCCGCAGTTCGCCATTTTCATGCATCGCTTTAAGCTTCGCTTCACTCAGATATGTGCCGCTTTACTTGTGGATAGTTATCGAATAGAAACGACATGTATCGGTGATTCATTTGTATTTTCCACGATTGTAGGTTTTGTTCTTTTTTAGACTCATTTATTTATTTTTCCTCTTTTCACTTTTCTTCGTTTTATATTTTTTTTTTTTTTTTTGTATCATGCAGGTCGGTCACAATGCCTGTCCAGAGCATGTGGGAGCCTGAGAGAACCGAAGAGGATTAAAGACCTTCCCACTCTGCCACTCGTCCTCCAATCAGACGGCTTCATTTGACCGTAGAGAGCCGACAACACCGGGGCCCTCGACTGGCAACATCTTTGAACCAGGCTGCTCCAATAGCACCCGGCCAGCAGGTTTTCGCTGCTTGAAAGAGCATGTTGCCAACGCTCTCCCTCTGCTCCATCATCTGGCTCAACCGGGGGATCAAGTTGAGGAAAGTGCATAAGACCACCAACACCGGTCAGGTCTGAAACCGCTGCCTCTGCAGACATAGCAGCAGCAGAACGCTACCGTATCGACTTTTAAAAATGCTTCTGAGCTTCGGGTGACGCCCCCTTCCTCCCCTCATTCCCCCCGACCCCCTGAGCCACCGTACCAGCATCAGAGTTCAGTGACTCAACAGCCTTTTTGGTTTCCTGAGGAGGATTTCTGTACAGCCGAACCCTGTTGTTGCAGTGGGACTCGGGCTGCACCATCTAATCCTCTATTCAGTAGCCATTTTGATTTGTCTTCCCTAACAAAATGGCGACGGAAGGTTTTCAGTACCTTGCCCTCTACGCATTTATCAAGGACCAGGAAGAGGACCTGGATCTGCAGGCTGGAGACCTTCTGACAGTCAGCAAGGCCTCCCTGCTATCCATGGAGAACTACCAGGAGGGCTGCGTGGAGCAGCCCGAGCGCCTCGGTTGGCTCCTCGGGTACAACGAGCGCACTAAGCAGAGAGGCGACTTCCCGGGGACGTACGTCAAGTACGTGGGCCCCGTGAAGATGGCGCTCCCATCGAGTCAACCCAGGTCCCAGCGACCCCTCCCTATTGCTCCAAGACAAGAGTCGTCTCAAGGTAAGAGCATTTTTGTACAAAATACTCAACGCAGAGTAGCTGCACGGCAACTGCAATTTTTGTTTTGTATCGTAGAGAATAATGATGCACTCGTAGCACAGATACCGTTTCACATTTTAAGGGGACCTGGAAATATAGTGTTGCAATATCACAAATGAAGTTGGAGTTTAATTTGTTCGAGAGACCAGCACACAAGTTAGTTTATTTCTCAGTATGTAAATTAACAACAGTTCCTTTTGTAATTACAGTGCGGCGTCTGTAGATTTCATGGCGAAGCTGGCACTTAACCAAGTTATATTCTTCTAGAGCTTTTTTTTAAAGAAAGCTTATTCTGCATGCAGGTTGTTTATATTTCTTTTCAAATTGTAATTGAAAACTCGTTCGTACACCAACATGTTCACTTGTATTGTGTTACTAAGCCTTCGGTTCTTGATCTTTGTTTATTCTTGGGAGGAGCTGTGATTTAAATTTATCGACTTTTTCTTGTTTTGCAATTAAAACATCAGTTGTTTTTTATTGGCAAAGTTTTAAGCACTGGACCAGACCATCGACACAGACTTATAAAAAGAAGCTGTTGGTTGGCGTGTTGCTGGTCAACCACCCCGGGAGTTTTGATTGGGCTGTCACATTTGACAGTGACCTCCCGCTGACCTTTTAATCTATACTTAAACCACGTCATAAGCCTCGCCTCTTTGGAAGCACAGCTAACCAAACTCTCTGCTGGCAATAAAGGCCTAATCCATCTACTTACTGGACTCTCCTGTACAGGTCTGGCATTGATTGTGTCCGTCTGTGTGGCCCCCTTTACACTCAACATTAACGTGTGTCTTTGGCATCCAAAATGCATCGAGGCTTATCTGCACAAAAATGCTTTGGCTCTCCTTCACTGTGACTTGTTATTGACCTTCCACTCAACCACGGGTAACGGATCACACTGGCAGGAGGGGCTTCAAGTACCGTTTTTCAAAGAAACGTTTTAATCGGCGTGTTTTGTATTTTGTGCAAATTAAGAGTTATTTAAAGGTGCATATTACAAGACATGGAGCATTTCTGTTGCCTCTCAACGCGGCTTGCAGTAAAACGGTGTAAACAAATGCAGAGTGGCCGGCAATGCGAATAGTATTTACCTGAGGGGGAACTTGAGGGTCGGCGCTACACTGCTGCGACGACGCGTTCTGTCAGGACGGCATTATCGGCTGTAACTGCTGTGTGAGAGCAGAGCAGCGGCCGGGAGGTAACCAGGCATGGCTGGCCCGGCCATGTCAACAAAGCAAGGAGAAGCTCGGTTAACAACACACACACACACACACACACACACAGAGGGAGAGCGACATTGTTCTCTGCTCAGGTAGACATTACTCCACTATATCTTTACATAGACAGGAGTTGTTTGCTGAATGTCATATTTTCCTTTTAATATTTCAGGGAATAATCCCATTTTTTACTCGGGGTTAAGTGCTGTGTTCTTTCACTCCTGTGACTTTATTCATAATGCTGAGAGCCTGGCTTTCAGCCGCGACGCCGTCCAACTCAAACATGCACTTGGCTTAGATTTGTCGACCTTAGCGAGCTCAGCTTCAAGTGCAAACTTTGATTCGTTACCAAAGTTCTTCCACACTCCTGAGATTTCCATCATTTTCTCCTCATTAGCACTCCCTTGCTTTTGGCTTCAGCTGGTTAATTTATTGCTTCCTTGTATGGGATGCCAGAGGAAAAGGTGCAAAGGGCCAAAAGATTAATAAAAGTTTTTATATCATTCCGCATATAAAACCATACATTCTTCCTCTGTCCAAAGCTGTATTCTCTGTAATTCCCCTGTGTTTATGACAGATGGGCTGAGTACCACTCTGAGCATGTAGGCTGTGAACTCTGAATTACCTCTGGTTGAGCCAATTGGCTATTCATCACGTACAACAGTACACTGTGCCTCATTCAAATTCATTAGTTTGAATTTGTTTCTTTGTATTTTATTTTCTGAAAAGTCAGGGGGAAAAAAACAGGAAATATCATAGCTTCAGTACAAAACTGTCTTCAGTTTTCTTATCACATGAGAGTTCTCCGTGCCAATAATACGGTAAAAACTGAGAGTGAAGCGGGTGTGTTATTCAGGCTTAACTTTCCCCAGCAGCAGCAGGTGAGGAGGACAACAGGGTCCTCGCGGTTTGATCGACGGTGAAACAAACCAGTCGGGCAGCAGGCGTTTGTGTCTGTGATCTGGAGAGACGGGGGCGGAAGAACCGAGTGAAACCCTGAGAGGGGGGTTCAGAGGGGGGTTGGGTGGCAGGGCAGTGGCTGAAGGAAGGATACCTTGGCTTAGCACCAAAAGTGCATTGTGAATTAGAAATGGTGGAGCCCAAATTGAACAAAATATCATCATCGTTTTCCTGAAGGAACCAAGGCCCTGGACGATTTGTGAATAGAGCTTTTGTTAGTGTGGCCCATTTACGATACGCAGGGATTGTAACAATTGGTACTGAGAGGCAGCGCCACAGCCTGGCGGTTGGGAAAGTGGACCAAGTTACAGGTTTAGTTAAAACGTCCGTCCTGTAACATGTAGCTATAATAAAGAGGAAATAAGGAAGTCTTTATATGCTCTGCAGTAACCTGGTTACTATAACCCACATTTACATACAGCTGGAAAGTTATCAGCTTTCTACCCAGACTTTGATGATACTTTGTATGTGATTTCAGCCTTTTATCAGACGAGTACACTGCGAGGAGAGAGTTTGTCTCACTGTTTCAGAGTGGGACATTTACTTATTCAGACTTATTTATTTCAGTTTTAGTCAGACATTTGTATGTAATTATTTTGACATTGATATTAATTTTCTTCACTGCACACGGACACAGCAATACTCTCTCAGCCTCAAGTCTTTTACATGCAAATGCATTCATGTAAAGCTCTTTAGAAGCCCAGGTAAGTGCACACATTGCCAAAAGATTGGGTTTCTTTGGCAGAAATCCTACTGTTAACTGTTTTTTTCCTTAATCCTTTGCCCAGATTAAGGAAACCAGGTTTCTCATTTGCATTCAAGAAATCGGGTTACTGCAGAACGGCGTCAACGACCCGTCTACTTCAGTGCATGTCAATGCACCGATGTTACTCTGTAGCCGGCAAAATGCAAAGCGTGGATTTCTCAATGGCTCAGCTTTTCTTCTTTTTAAAATGACATAGTCAGAGGATTGTGGGTTAGCTGATGACGTCGTATTAGTGTGAATATTTGGACTACCTGTCGTACTGATGCAGCACTCGGCTACTCACGAGTGTTTTGTGTAGTTTGTTTATGTGCGTAAATAATGACATCACTCTGTATTAAAGCAGTTTATTCTTTCGGCCACAAAACCGGCTTTAAATAGAACAGTAGGTTTGTATTTAGTGCGTTGTGGAGCACACATGTTGTCAGCACAACTTGGAGTGATAGATTTAAGCATCTTGAGACGGATTGTGAGTAAAAAGTCTGCTTTGACAAAAGCGTTTCTCAACTTGCAGCAGAAATAATTCTACGAACTCGGAGAGATTTTTTCCTTTCCCTGGCCTCACTTTAACTGCCTGCTGAAGTGAACCATGGCTTGGCATGTTTGCAAACTCCTCCCTTCATTCTCTCTCCCTCGCTCTCCCCCTCTCTTCTCTCTGGTACTCCCTCCTTTTTGCAGCCTCCCTCCCTGATTCACATACATGTCTGATACTGTCTCTGGACAGCTATAAACCATGTTAGCGGAGCCAGTTCTCAGAAAGGGGAGGCCTCTCTCTCTCCGCTCCCTTTTCCTTACCAGGAAAACACTTTCAAAGAACTAATGGAGGAGGGGGGTGGCATAGGCGCTGAGACAGTAGAGCAAATGAATGGGAGAGATATGGAGAGGCTGAGAAGGGAGGGAGACGAGGGCTCCAGTGTGAGCCAAGGCCACCCTATCCAACTGCAAATATAGGAACCAGCTGTATTTGGTTTCTCTCCTAACTGTTCTATTATTCTCCTGGAGTTTAGTCAATTTAGTACGTTACGCATTTTATTTTCTGAAGCATTTCTTCGGTGCCAGAGCAGTAAAAGAGAACTCCTTTAGGTGTGAAGTTGTCTTACTGAAAGATTAATGGCTTTAGGAAAAAGCTATGAGCGAAACGTACATTTTGTACAGTTTCTTAATTAAAATACCATGAAAGCGTTCAGACTTGAGTGTGATATTTTCGATGTGCTGATATAGGCTATGATGATATTAACGCAGGATAGACTATGAACCAAGTTCTACTTCAGAAGCATGGTCTTTTCTTCTGAGGGCCAAATCTCCGGCCTTGTATGCACGTGTGTGCTTCAATGAGGTGACAACTTTTCACATATATATTTAGGTTTAGACCGACTGTCTCTGAAGACAAAAGTGTTTATAGCTTCTGGAAATAGCTGCACTCGAAGGTGACGGAGAGGGGTCAGCATCTCCTCAAGGGCATTGTTGGTGTTGCACTTGTGAAATGTTGGATTGATGGTTTTGGAAAGCTACAGAACTTGGTGTGCACAGCCGCCCTGACTCTGACATTGCAAAGGTGTTCAACGATCTGACGAGCACTTTGTTTGAAGTGGCCACATTACTTTCAGACTGAGACTCGTGTAACACTCCATCGGACACAATGCTGTGTCGTCATACAGTTAGAGATGACAATTCACCGGTTTATGCAGTCAGAAGATATACTAGAGGTTTACAAATATGCCAACCAATGCGACACAGTGGGTTGGCCTCGCATCTAACATTAACACAACCACCACATTCATTGTGTATGGAAGAGGGACAGCAACACCAACTGGTTTGCACACTGGACTTTGCTGGACACAAACTGCATTGAGTAGATGCCAGCTCCTGGCTTACGGTCAGTCAGAAGGCATGCAAAAGGAAATGCACATGTCAAACACTCGATACACAGACAAGAAGTGATCTCACACATGGGCACCTGGTAGCCAACCGATGGAGTGCAAGAAAATGTAGGTTCCTGTCAACCCCACAATGTCAGTGTTTTAGTGACGTTCTCGCTAACATTTTCTCTATAAACATGAGCCTGGTGTTACTTGGGAGCATTTTTGTGTAAATTGATATATTAGAGTCATACGTTGACATTTTAATACTAAAGTTGTTAACCCCCCCCCCCCTCCGTTTTCCCACTACAAATAATGTTTAGTCACATTGTATGAAACGTGTTTATAGCATCTCTCTGCATTAATGTGTCTCCCCGGTGAAACCAGCATTGTGTAGACGTCACCTGCGTCTCGACACTCACTCGTACACGTGTAGCTCTGAAGCACGTTGAGATGGCGGAGTGGACGGTGTGAGCGCTCTCAATGCGTTGCTTATCCACATAGCTGGGACGCAGTGAGCACATGTAGCAGTGAAACCTGACCAGCAGCACAGACGCTGTCGCACACCATCCGTGAGCCAGACGCCAACTGGCCTTGTCACCACTGTACATAAGAAACACGTGTTCGGAGTAACCGACATGGTTTGAAAAAAAAAAAAAAAAAAAATGTTTTGGAAAATTTGATCCTCATTTGTTGATGAAGGAGTTTACTTCAGTTTACCCTCACATTGGTGCATTTAGAGGACAGTGAAATTATGGGAAGTTAGTTACATCTGGTGAAATAATGCAGATAAAAAATGGAAGAATGACATTATTAAGTTAATCTTTAAACCTCAACATGTTTGTTAGCAGCAAATTGTTTTTAGTAAACTGAACTCACCAAAGCTTGTGTTTCTTCAGCCTTTAGAACCAGTGATTACCCTTCATCGGGATCACTTTGGTTGTAGTACAATACAAATATGATTCATTTTTCTGTGGTAGCTGTGGCTGTCTGGGTGTGATTTGTATCTTCCAAAGCCTAAAATGTGTGAAGTCTTTTGTTAAATATAAAAAGAGTGAATCCAACGTTTCTACCACACAACAAATGATGATTTGCTGTCGTCGTAGTTGAATTACATAATCTAAACTCATCGTAAAAACAAAACAAAAAAATCGAAAGTGTCGGGAGTGTTTGTACGTAAAGTGAGAAAATTGAAGAGGTGTAATTTCAAGCAGTTAAACCCTGTGAATGAATTCCTGCCGTATCTCTGCGTTTGGAGGAGCTCCAGTTTGTGACACAGACCCCAGAGAGGGAGAATGCAGCAGAGCCAGCTACGTATTACATAAGCACTCTGATGTCGAAGATACAGAGCAAATATTTACTTCACATAGCTTTGCTGCGTCCAGTCTACTTTTGCCTGTCTGCTGCTCGCCTCGCATTGAGCGAGCTGTGCAAACACACGACAGGATCGGCAGCATTCATCCGACCGCTCCAGCTTCACCTGCAGACAGCACACTTCACACATGACTTTGTAAGGTTTCTATTTCTCTGACACGGATGATGTTGAATGACTGGGTTTGACTTCATCAAATCATTTCTGTAGAAATTCTGCAAACACAGTCGTGAGATCGAGCCTGTAAAAATCTCTTACAATGAATGCATGAACTAGACTTAAAAGGTTCAAATGCACTAAAAACTACACTCTGTCATGCTTTTCCTCTCTCTTTCTCCCTCTCCCTCTCCCTCTCTCTTATCCGTTTCTCCCATTGGCGTAGGCTCAGGGCTTGTCAAGTCATAAGCCTGCCTGCCAGTGTGCAGTCTGCCAAGGAAGTGGTTCTAATTGACTAACAAGTTGCTGTTACCTCTCTCTCTACTTTTCACTCTTTTTTTTTTTTTTTTTTTTCCAAACCTTTCCAAAACCTTGAGACGACTGCAGGGCTTCAGCTGCTTTTGGCAGGAAAAACAAAAAAGAAAGACTCCTTCGCACGAAAGTCAAAGTTATTTTTTTAATTTTACGAGCAAAGAGACTTATACAGTAAAATTAAGTGTTTGTTTGCATGTAGGAGTGAGAAAGTTCCTTCCTCTTGGGGAAAATATGGCAATCAATGTTTTCTTACTCTCCTCCCAAACTGTTAGGGAATTCATTTTGTGGTTTTATGGCCTATATTTGTACTTATTTCCCTTTTTTATTTGGTTTTCACGTTTTATTGCCTGCGTCCTGCCTTAACCCGTAAGAGCCCCGCGACTTGTGCTCTCGTGTACTGAATCATTTATACATTCACCAAAACGACAACAACACAATATCATAAGTCGACGCACCGATCACTAACGTGCTCGCTCACATTCGTGGCAGATTTGTATTTTTTGCACGTCTATCCTGGTGTTTCTGCACAGTTGCCGGTAAAAGATTAGGCTCCACTAATATCAGTAGTAGTATTCAACTTGTGTGATCCAAATAGTTACAATAACTTTGCGCTATTTGAAAAATATAGATGTATTAATTTCCAAAATTCACACCATGTTTTTATCTAACAAATATTCTGCTTTAGTCCATATTTGTTGGCGTTCAGCTTTAAAAAAAAAAAAGATAGTTTCCTCTCCCGATTACTCATGCATTGTTTGAATGCACAGCGGGGAGGAAAGAAGAAGAAGCTTTTGAGTGCATCCTGTTTGTTTTAACCAGGAGCACAAACGGTCCCTAAGTAGACAAATCATTTTGTAATGCATTACACTATGAATGTATAAACTGTACTGCACACCAAAGAGAGACACCATGTGATGAGAGCAGAGGGGGAAGGGCCCTGCCAACCAAAAATGGCCAACAGGGATAAAGAAGAGGCAGAGGTCTGTCTGTGTGCTCGCTAGAGAGCTGGAGACCCGGCCAGGCAAAGTTTCCATGTTCAACCGGCAGAAACGGAGACCGAGAGAGAGAGAGAGAGAGCGATAAAAACTTCTGTAAAAGACACCAAGAGGGAGAAAAAGAAAGATGAGGAGCAAGAGGGAGAAAGTCCAGCAAGAGCAAGAATGCAAGAGAGAGAGAGAGAGAGACATCCAGAGAAACTGAGAGAGAGAGAGAGAGAGACATCCAGAGAGAGAGAGAGAGAGAGAGAGAGAGAGAGAGAGAGAGAGAGAGAGAGAGAGAGAGGAATGTGCTGACGCTGTGTTTCTTGTCTGAACTCCCCAAATTAATAATCAGCAGCGGTTTAGCCGTGCCAGGAACAGGAGCCTAATGCCAAGCCCCGGCCAGGCCGGGCCCTCCCTGCACCCAGCGTTGCCGCCACCCCCTCCTCACCCTTCACCCATAACCCCCACCCAGCCCACTGCACATAGCCCTGCTTTGGGGCCGAATAGGAGGCGCTGCCTGTTTGGGCCGGGCCGGGCCTGGCACACTGCCACGGGGCTTTTGCTTGTTCAGGAGTTTTGATTAAATCCTTTATTGTGCTCCACTCACGCAAAGAGCTAAGGCGAAACACCGAGCAGGACGGAGGGGAGGAGAGAAAGCGAGAGGAGAGAGAAGAAAAGGGAAAAAAAGAGAGGGAGGGAAATGGGATCTCTCTCCTTTTTTTCCCCCCTCTTGCTTTCTCCTTTTCTCTTTCTCTCGGACTGAAAAGATGTTTGATTTGGTCTCTGGGGAGTTGTGAAGTAGATAAAGTTTTCGCTCGCCATCAGCAGTCTGTTTTTCTTCTCTGTTTTTTTTTTATTTTCACTCCTCCGTATAAAGGCTCTTTTCATTCTTTTGTTCATTAAGCTTTCTAAATTGTTCAGCTTTTCTTATCTTAAATCTAATCAGCTAGACTTCCAGACTTCAAGATGCATCACAAGCTTCAAGTGTTTTAGTTTTTATGTCTTTAAATACGATCACAACAAATGCAACACCGGAGACGAACTGCCACTAACAGGTGTGCTTCTTGCAACATGGATATTAAAATCCACCTCCTCACATTTGATCGTGTTTCTCACAGATTTTATACACGCTCGCAACATTACACATGCTCTATATCTCCAACTGCTCCTAGTTAACCGCGCCCCTGTGTGTGCTGCAGCACCCCCCGTGGTCTCTCGGAGGCTTTGTGCCAGAAGTGTAACAGTGATTTGTGTTGTTGTTTCAGCTGTTTCTGTGCTGGACCTGAGCGAGCAGTTCACACCGCCAGAGACGGCTCCCCCGACCCTCGCCAGCCTGATCCAAGCCATAGAGAAGAGAGGTACATCCATGTACAATCGGCCAACGTATTGGTCTGTCGCCTGTCTCGTCTCCCCCGTCTCTCCGTCTCCCTCTCGCCATGTGCCTCCTGCTCTCACGCCAGCATTAGACACGTAGACATGTGGATCCAGTCAGGCAGTCACACGGATTAGAAGTGCACACTCGGTCGGTTAGGGACTTTATGCGGATTTCCTACATGGAAGTTTAATGTGGTTTGAGTCCGAACAAGTTCTCACTGAGAGTCCTGTACAGTGAGTTTGATACGCAGTACTGTTATTAACAAATGGCGCTCAGTGGGACTCCGTTCACAGCTTTTTTTTTTTTCTTTTTTTTTACCGTCTTCCTTTTTTTATTTTCTCTCTCTTATGTTCGTCTCTCTTGCACACGAATAGATTTGTGTGGCTGCAAATAATAATTATTTTCATTACCGATTAATCTGCAGATTATATTCTCGTTTAATCATTTAATGTTCAAAATGTCAAAGAATTGTCAGAGCAGACTAAAACGTCTTAACATTCTTGTCTGACCTACGGTTTAAAACCAGTAAATCATCACAATTGAAAAGTGGGAATTTGGGTGTTTTAGCTCGAATAAATTAATTGACAAAATAGTTGCTAGATATTTTTCTGTGGATTGACCAATGAAGTCATTGACTAATCGTTTCTGTTCTTTCAATGTACGGAACACTCAACCTGTGTCCCACTTCCATGTAATTCATCTTTATACTAAACTGGTTTTGCAGTTGCTAAAATCAACATTCTAAACATTTTCTACAGAAGCTGCTAATTTTACTTCACAAAGAGAAAGCAAAAGTTATTTCTAAAGTTATAATATTGTTCACTAGATTTCCAAGATATTTCTGTTGTCTCACCATCAATTGCATTTATTAATATAGTTTGTCCTTGTGAGTAGCTTCTGCAAATGTGCATTGCATTGTGGGACAAAACGATACTTCAGCAAACTAAAAAACAATTGTTTTTAGCCTCCATTCTCTCTTTTTCCAAGTATATCTGATTTAACATCAGTTTTCCAGTGTGGACACACCTCATACTCTAAAGCTGAGGACAGTTAGTTTGTGTGGAAGTGATGCTTTAATCGAGTCACTCATGATTTCAATATTGATTTCAACTTGAAGGATGACGGCATGTAAATAATATGGTGTAGCACTGATATTGAGTTACCTGCCAGTGTTGGATGCACATCCACTGTGACTGCATGGTGTGGTTCTCACAGCTACCTGAGAGACTGGCTCGTCTCAAGGACCTGCTGTCTAGAACCGGTGTTCCTAAATGGCTTTTAAGTCTGGGACCCAAAAGAGAAATGAAGTCAGGAAGAGTTTGAATGTTTTCTTCAGGGATATTTAGTGTGAAATATTTATCTCTGTAATGAAAGATTGGAATGTTAGTCTGCCAGTTTCTACATTATTTAATTACAAAGATAGTTTAGTTTAATTTCTTGATCCAGTGTCTCGGTTTAAAATGTCTTTGCTGTCTGTCACTAAATCAATCGCACATTTTCCATCAAGAATAGAACAAACTAACTTAAATTACTGCTTTGTCCAAACAACATTTGAAGGACCAACTCTCCCCCAATTGATTGATCCCCTTCTCTCTGCTGACGGGTGTGACACTGGAATGAAAACAACACACAGCTGAAATTTTGTCCTGAGTATTTCCAAAACAAATATCTGGCCATGTGCTTTGTCACGTACAAGTTGTTGCTTATAAACTGACGTCGTCTAGCCAGTGAAACGTCTGCTCTGTGTGTCTCATAGCACGGTTTGTCTTTTCCATGACAGTCGATCTTTTAGTCCAAGTCAGGCAGCCATGGAGTCGTCCCCTATGTTGGAGTTAGCTGCATGTGCGTTTCACTGTGTGATTATTTGTTCGATTGAGTAGCATTGCTATTTTTCTGTCAGCTCAATTGTACGAACCTTTATTAAACTTCTCTTTTTGTCTTCCTCAGGTCTGGACTGCAAGATATTGTACAGGACAGATGCTTCCTCCGGTTCAGACAGCCCAGTGTACAGCATGAGCTCTGGTGAGTTAGTCTGAGTCTAAGATTTATTCCTTTTTAAGCTTCATTTCATAGTGTGTGTAATACACTTTATTTGTGTTCACATTGCAGTAGAGTTGGACCAAAATATTGGCTCATAGTAGCTTTTGGCAGATATATCGTATTGGTGTCGATGCCAGATAAAATTGTAGTTCAGACTAACTAGGTTTGAGATCTCTGAGAAACATTGACACCGTTTGTCCACCACAGAGCACCAATGAGTTGATTGTTTCTTGGTAAAAAAAAAAAAAAAAAATATCTAAGGGTCTGTATGAAGACCTCTGCTTATCCTGTATTGTATGTTTTTATGTTAAAGTGGTTACTATCTGTAATCGTATCGTTTAAAGTCTCAAATATCTATTTCGGTTTTCATCCTCAATAATTCTGTATCATTTAAAGGCACAGTGTGTTGCATTTTGGGGTATCTACTGCCAGAATACAATATTGATTTGTATGTTTTATTTAGTATATAATCACCTGAAAATAGGAATTGTTGTTGTTACTTTAGAATTAGCAGTTTATTTCTACATACGGAGTGGCACCTCTTTACGGAGCCGGCCGCCATGTTTCTACAGTAACCCTTAACCGACAAACCAAACACCGGCTCTAGATGGGGCCATTGGCGTTTTCGTTTATTCACGTTTTTTGTGTTTTTGCATCGTCCACCATAGTTCTCCAACTCTCTTGTGTGTTTCAGTTGGTTGCAATCTGCAACCTCACCACCAGATGCCGTCAGATCCTTCACATTAGACCTTTGAGCTATGCATCGCATACTGAAGTGAATTTCAAAATGTTGAACTGATATTTACTGTATGGGATTTGTACCGAGCATGCATGCTGTTTTTCAGCAATGCTCATCATATTTCATAAGGCTACACATACATTAAATGTTTGAAAGTAGCCCTCTACTGTTGGTTCAGTACGTCTCACCTGCTTCATACGGTTTACATTTTGAGAGAATTCAAGCCACAACAGAACAGAGCGTTCAGATTCAGGTTTCTTTGTGTTTAATTACGTTTAGTGGAACTTTTTCTTGTCCCTAAATGTCTTTGTTTGTGTCTCTGGGCTCCAGAGAGTGAGACGTGTCAGAATGATGTGGGCTACCTGTCCGAGTGTGTGCTGAGCTACCTGAGAGACCTGCCGTCACCCGTCATCCCCGCCTGTTTCTACGCTCACCTTCAATCTGCTGTAAAACTGCAGCAGCAGGTCCTACAGCAGTCAGCCGGTAGGTCCCATCTCGTGAGGAAATGCTTCCAGTCGATACTTGTATTGACTTAACGCCCATTTTTCAATTAGGAACGGGTGCCGTCTTCCATGTATCTCTGTATGGGCACGGCTTGTTATCGGACGATTAGCACTTGAGAGCTGGAGATGTTCTAAAAACAGTCAAATAGTCGGCTGCCAAAAAGTATTGAACTGATGATGATCTGTGTTCCAAACCCAGAAGACCAACCGCAAGCAAACATGGAGTTGGGTGTTAGAACAAAGACGCACCAGTGAGAAACTTTAAACTTTCTGCTACTTTGGCTCAATAGTTAAACTTATTATCCATCTCAAGGGAGATTCTCTGCAAGTTGATGTTTATACATTTTTACAATGAACTCAGACCAGTGGCGCCTGGAAAATGTGCATTTAGCAATCTAAAAACCCATGGCATGCTCTGGAAAACGGTCTACAGCTATGCGACGCACACAATTTGCAGTTAATGAGCTTAAACAAGCAAAGCCACCAGCAACTAAAGTTATGTTGTTCTAAATCTCTATGTGGTTTTGACTGCTATAGATCTAGTATTGTGAAAATAACGTTTTTAAATTGATCTGCGCTTGAAACGGGTGAAATAATCTCATTCTGTTTGTATTTTTGAGAACATATTTTTAACTACTTAGTATTTGTCTTGCCAAAAAGCTGTGTTAGTAGTTAGAACGGCACATTTCATCGCCTCACTAACTGTCGTTTTAGTAAAAAGAATTGCACAAGGCTCAAACCGACCATTATATGCGGCTGATTGAGGTCAGTTGCTTGTCAGCATTGAGAGAATGGAATAAAGTGTTGGGAGAGGATGAGCTCACTGAGACATGCTAGACATTCTTCAGCTGATTCTCTGCACACAATGGACTATTTACAGAAACATGCATTGACCCTATTGACATTTTAGGACTTGATGAAGATACAAGTAGGGGTCAGAATGTCTCATAGCAGGCTAAACAGTATGTATAAATACCTAATTTAGCATCATTATCTTAGTTAAATATCCTGACTCTCCTGAGATTCCCCCCATGTGGTAAAACCGCATTAAATTATTGCAGTAGTTTATCATCTTCGCGGTTATTTGAATACCTTTTTACAGATGGTGCAGTCGCTGGAAGCCATGACAGGGAGGTAAGCCTGGTCCTCGAGAGCTCCCCTTCCGTCCCTCTCCATCACCGTCTCACACTGCAGCACCTCCTCACACACCTGGCCAAGGTCACTCAGGCGCAGGCCAGTAATGGCCTGGACACACACACGCTGGGAAAGATCTTTGGACCACTGCTGATACAAACCGGCCCCTCCACCCCGTGGTAAGTTCTGGATGACGGATATTTCACACAAAAACAGATGCAATAGATTGTGTTGATCTGTCAGTTCTGTGAAGCACAAGGCTACTGAAGTAAATCTAGAGTTTCAATTTATCAAAGGTGTCAAATTGGGAGTTTCGGCCATGTGTTTCTAAACCTGGTATTGATTGATTGATTGATTGATTGATTGATTGATTGATTGATTGATTGATAGGTTGTCTGTGGATGAGGAGTTCCCTGCCCTTGTGGTGGAAAGGCTTCTGATAGAGAGAATGATGGAGCAGGACCTCGCTCCTCCGGGTATGTTATGTTTATGTTATACTACTGTAACAAGATGGTTGTTGATTAGGTTAGCTTTAATACAATACACAGTATTTCTGGCATACTTTCAAAAGTTCAAAACTTATTACATGTAGGTTAATTGTTAGCAGTTTCCAGGGAGTGAATGTGTTTCGTGATTGTTGTTTGGATCAATTCCATTAGTATAAAATAGTTTTAATGTTGTGTGTGTGTGTGTTACCAGTTCTTCCAGCAAAGCCAGTCAAGTCACAAATGGCACCATCAGCCATGACGGACACAAGCAGCCTGCTGAACGATGCTGAGTGGTACTGGGGAGAGATCTCAAGGTAAATTAGTTTATTAGTATTGGATAAAAAATGTCATAGCTACCAGACAGCATGTATAGTGGATACCAGTCTGCTATACATGCTTACATGCAACGCCTTCCAGAAATCAATGTTCCTTGTTTTACAGATTTTTTTTGATCGTGAGAATTCTGTTATTATTTTGCTGTTGAATTGCAGCTGATCACGGTTAGTGCTCATGAAGTAAATACTGCATGTCATGGTGTTTGCAGAGAGGAGGTGAACGAGAAGCTGCGAGACACTCCAGATGGCACCTTCCTGGTCCGAGATGCCTCCAGTAAACTGGAGGGCGAGTACACGCTCACCCTCAGGTAAAGCAACACCACTGTCTCCCACACCAGGTAGAACCACAGCGGAATCAACTGAAGAGAGTAAAGAAATGTGACCTTCGATGAAGGAAAAACCTTTGCTGAAAGTTAACATGTGCAGCCATGTGTCCTGTTGTTTTCTTCTGGTTCTCATGTGGCTCCTGTCTCCCCCTGCAGGAAAGGGGGGAACAACAAGCTTATAAAGATCTACCACCGAGACGGAAGGTATGGCTTCTCTGAGCCTCTTACCTTCCTGTCTGTAGTGGAGCTCATCAATCACTATCGCCACGAGTCCCTGGCCCAATACAACGCCAAACTGGACACCAAGCTTCTGTTCCCCGTCTCCAAATACCAACAGGTTGGTGACTTTTTTCTATCAAGCTCAATGACACGCAAACTCCCTCGGCAAGCCTCCTTTTGATGTAGAAATCCTTTATCTCATTGTTTTAATGAATAACAATAAGCAGGGCCTGCTTGAAATGTGTTTCGTTCATCAAAGTGGTGATTTTGCTCTCATCTGCTTGTTGCACGGCTCAGTTGGTGAAGGAGAACAGCATAGAAGAGGTGGGAGAGCAGCTGAAGGTCTATCATGAGCAGTACCAGGAGAAGAGCCGCGAGTACGACTCACTGTACGAGGAATACACACGCACCTCACAGGTACGAGAAATAATACACTTCATATCCTGTGTTTTTCATATAGTGAACAAACATATCTTACATATCTTGAAAACAGACACTTCATATCCAAAAGATAAGACGATAATTATTCTACAATGGAACAATGGTTAAATCCACGTGTAGCAAATGCAGCAGTAATAGAAAACATAAAGAAACATGCACATGTAACAGTTTTTATCAAAATGTATTCAAAAGAATATTAGATATAAACAGATTACATTATGAATATGTGCAGACCTCCAGTAGAACTAACAAAGACAAAGATAGAATCAGTGTGAAAGCATTTACAACATAAACATTCATAAAACAAATTTAAATACCTCAAGTATAAAGTAAGTGAAATGGTAAAATATAAGATATATCTGCAGTATATATTATGACCCTGATGAATACTCAAGTGGTGAATTTCAAGCATTTATATGTGTATATTCTTTACAAGATGTATCTGTTACTTTCTATATTACACCACAGTAGAGGTAGAAGATATCAGCAGGTGCTAACTAATTGAAAAACAATACATCATGAGATGGAGGGTCACAGTCTGTTTGTCTGGCCCGGTGTCCTGCAGGAGCTGCAGATGAAGCGCACAGCCATCGAGGCCTTCAATGAGACCATCAAGATCTTTGAGGAGCAGTGTGAGACTCAGGAGCGCTACAGCAGAGAGTCTTTGGAGCGATTCCAACGCGAGGGCAACGAAAAGGAGATTCAAAAGTAAATTGATATGTTTTTATGGACGGGGATTCTTGATAATCCTCATTTAATTCAACTGCAAAAGATGGCATGAATCCCATTTGAACATCACATTCATAGCACATTCTCTCAAATCAGGATCCAGAGCAACTCTGAGCGTCTGACGTCTCGTGTGAAGGAGATCCATGACAGCAAGCGTAAGCTGGAGCAGGACCTGAGACAGCAGGTCTCTGATAACCGAGAGATCGACAAAAAGATGAACAGCCTCAAGCCGGATCTCATGCAGCTCCGCAAAATCAGAGACCAGTACTTGATGTAAGAATGAATTTTAAGATTATATAAAATGTATATATACACGCACACTTGTTATCTTCATAACTTGAGAATGATGGTAAAGTGTCAGCACTAAATGTGCGGTGTTGTGGCTTTGCAGATGGCTGACTCAGAAGGGGACACGGCAGAAGAAGATCAATGAATGGCTGGGCATAAAGAATGATGCAGATGAGTAAGTGTTTGAGATGAAGTAACGGCTGTGATGACCGGGTGCTGCAGTATCTCCACCTGTAATTTATGGAGCGGCTGGAGCTCAGTGTTTTGGTCGTGCTATGACATGTGGTTGAGTATCTGCTGCTTTAATCCTGTGTTTCCAGCTCCTTCTCACTGGAGGACGATGAGGGTTCACCCCACCATGATGAGTGTACCTGGTATGTGGGCGACATCAAACGCACCCAGGCTGAGGAGATGCTGAGAGGCAAATGTGACGGGACCTTCCTCATCCGTGAGAGCCAATCACAGAAGGGCTCCTACGCCTGTTCTGTCGTGTAAGTTTTATTTTTTTCTATCATGATCTATTTCTTTATCCACTTGCAGCTTTGGTAGGTAACTTTGGAGAAACCATCAAGAGTAAGCTAGACTTTTGAAATTATCCAACCGGAAACCCCAACTTTTTCCTATGAAAGTAGCGAGCAGCATTAGCTCCAAAAAACACTAAATCTAGCAAGACAATTGCCAAGTCAGCAACACTGACAGCTCGTCACTTCAGGGATCCATCCAAAGCCGCTCCCCCAAAATTAACATTATGAAAGTAAACGTATCATAAAAGACGGAAACAACGAAGATAGCTCTTGTCAGTACAGGTAGGCCGTCCAATCAATTCTCACATTGAATTATTGGACGAGTTTATTACAGTCCTGCGACAGCCACAGATACCAGATGTTTCTAATTATTGTGTCAGAGATTTTGATTAATTAATAGTTATCAGGAAGTAAAGAGAATTTCCACAAATACAACGCAAATGTTTCTAAAATGCATTCCCCACCGTAGCTTTAAATAACTGACAAAATGTAGACTATCTTAGTTTGACAGCAGGATATTTTGTAACGACTGAAATACTATAATATAATATTATAATATTTAACATTCATTGTCACAATAACCAGTGATCTTCAAGCTAACATAGGCCACTGTACAGTATAACTAGTTATAACTAGTTAACAAAAAAGTTAAAATAAACGTTTGCAGGTTTAAGAAACAAAGAGCAAGGATTCTTTTTTTTTTCATTGGAAGAGTGCAAAGGAGCTTCAAGACACAATTCATTAAAAAAGTATTAATTAAACAAGTGTCAAACTTGCATGATAAAAAGTTCTCTCTCTAGTTACCACACAGTTACTGTCGTCAGTAGACCTTTTTTACTTGGTTTTGCAGGAAACGCACAGGTGAGAACAATGGCTCAGTTCAATCAGTAAACAAGCAAACCGACTCACCTAAATGTAATGCATTCGTTATGCCATCACTTACACCTGAGCGTTTCCTTCTACAGCAAGCCAAAGTGTCTGCTGTGAAAAAGTGTTGTGTGTATATATATATATATATATATATATATATATATAGACAACATATGACAGTAATGAAGTAATTTAAGGCCAGTCGGGGCGACGGTGTAAATGATCCCTGCTCTTCTTTCCAGTGTGGAGGGTGACGCCAAGCACTGTGTCATCTACAAGACTGCCACGGGCTACGGATTCGCTGAGCCCTACAATCTGTACTCGTCCCTCAAAGACCTGGTGCTCCACTACAAAAACGTCTCCTTGGTCCAACACAACGACCATCTGAATGTAAATCTAGCCTACCCAGTCCTGGCCCGCTCTCAGAACCAGAACCAGCACCCCAGATGAATCATCCACCAGCAGTGTCGGGACGCCAACCAGGGTGGGGGAACTCAATTTTCACTCGTCACATTGGGGAAAAAAACGATCCTCAAAACAAAGCTTGTTCTTGTTTAAGTGGCGAAGAGAAATAGACTCAACAGCAACTATTTAAAATTCATGTGTTCTTGGCTTGATGCTGGTGCTAATTTCCCACACCAACTCCAGTCCAGCAAAGAGCTCTCCTTGCTAACAGCATGGCTTCAAAATAAGCACACCACCACCACCAGTATGGGAGAACTGTACAGTTAGTCTGGCCGACGCAGTGAGTTTTAACTCGAGGAGAGTGTCGCATTAGCCAGCCGTGACTGTACAGTGTCAGTTATGAAACATCAAGTGTGAGAAATTCAAATGAAATTACCTTTAATTCAGAAAAAAAAAAAAAGACGGACTAAATGTGTTCACAGAAGTCAAAATAAGCACACAAAATGTTGTTTTCAAGATCGTGGAGAAGAGGAGAGAAACCAGATGGTGGGATGAATTTACAAGAGGCACTTTTGTTTGTTTTTTTGCCTTGAACACTAACTGCTAACTGTCCACAGACAAAGGCCCAATCTGTCATCCCCAGACTGCCTGCAAACTCTCCGTAGACAAAAGCCTGAGCTGTCACCCACTGAAAAGGACTGGCTCGGCTAAAGCAGGCTGCTCCCTTCACACCTAGAGGCGGCTGAAAACCCCGACGACCAGGGGTGTAGTCACTGGAGCCGAGGGAGGGGGGGGGTGTGTGTGTGTGTGTGTGGGGAGGGGAGTATTTTAATGGGTTTTAAAAAGATTGATGATTCAATTTAAAGCTTGCTGAAGTGCCATAGTAATAGCTTTGAATGACCACAAGCCTGTGTCACTGGAACAAGGGGGCACGTCGAGGTTGAAAGAAGGAAGGAGGAAATAAACGGCCGTCGAAATAGACAAAGATACAGCTTTAAAAATACAATACACACACAGAGGTATATTTTTTATGAAATAATCTTTATTTCCAACTGCTTTGGCTTGTTGCTCTCTCTCTCTCTCTTTGGGCCTCTTTTGTAATTGACGAGGTACGACGTACAGTAAAAACTGTATGACGAGAGAAATGCATGGTACATATTTGGTATATTGTGAATATAGACTTTTACTCACAATACACTAGATGGAGGGGTACATTATTAGATGCAGTTCCCCATGATTCAGGTGGAAAGACATTAAGCATCAAACGTCTCTTTGTTTCAAACATCTGCCTTCTTTTTTCATCCTCTTTGATACTGTAGCACCTGTAGCCATTGACTTAAGGCTTAACTGTTAGTGCTCCTCTCATGTGTCTTGTTTCTATATGCTAAAGACACTTGTGGAGCATCAGTCTGTGTGATTATTGTATCTTCGGTACTGTATTTGCCTTCACTCTTGTTAGATTTGACTGTTTTAGCGGTACTATGTCCTTGCAGATGTTTATTGTTCTTTTTAATGCAGATTTACTCGCGGTACATCCTTCCCCCCCCGCGCTTTACTGTTCATTTCATCACAAGTTTGACTCACAGAGCTGTAGAACATTTGTGTACAAAAACAAAGCAGTAATATAACTTATGTACAGTATATTTCAGACACACATGCGGTCGGTGTGTATGGCTTTACACCGTTTCATCGCTGTGTTTCTTTACGTTTTCACAACATTTGCGATGCTCTTAGGTTCTGTTTTAGGATGCACAGTATCCAGCTAATGTGAGCCAAATGAAGGATATCTTTTCATGTAGCAAGAAAGGAAAAAAGAAAAAAAAAAGAACCAGTCATCTTGCCATTTAGTTTGGCCTCCGTGGTCTGAGAGATTATCTAGTACAGTACGCATGGAGTCCTTCATTTGGGTGGCTGTTTTTCTTTCTTCACTTGGCACCAGTGGTTGGTAATTGTACTTTTTGTAGTGCAAATACAGTATGATGTGTGGTAGTACTATGCACAACAGAGTCGTATGTGGAGAAACAAGTTTTAGATTGACTGAGATGAGTTCCCTCCCTCTGCTCTGTGGCGGTGAGTTTCAGTTCCCCTCATGTTCATTCGGCGTGAGGTAAAGATTGTACCGTCGTTGTTCTTCGTCACTTTCACAGCATAGCTCGTTTAGAGGCAGTCGTCGTCGTCGTGTGGTTGATGGCGTCACATGAGGCCTCTGTTGACTTTGATTCACACGGTTGATTTCTTGAGAATGAATGAATACGAATAATCTCTCAAATTTCTTACATGTAGTAGACTCGGATTGCCAAAAAGGTATTTTTGTAGAAAGACATAGAAGAGGCAAACATTGTTGGCAATAGACGGTTTTAGAAAGAAACGGTGCACTGTTTTAAAGGTTGCACATTTTGTATTTGTGTTTTATTCTTTCTTTTTTAAGGAGGGATAGAAATTGTAGTGAGATATTCACCTACTCTTCTGGTCATGAAAGTAAATGATGCACGTTTCATCTGAAGACCTAAGCTTCCAACAAACACGATGCGTCTGGGCATAGCATCATTTCTGTTTTTGAAATGATGATTCACAAATTTCAGGTAGCAACATTTTTTCCAAACAGACCAACCACACTTTCAAATGAAACCTAACTAGGCCTGAAAAGTTTGAAACCGAGACGTCATTTTGATTTCAGTCAGGACGAATCAAGTGTACTGTACTTTGCACAGTTCTTGGAAAGTAGAAACTCCCAAGAAATAAAGTAGAGGTGACGGCGGTGCTTCTGATTAGAGGGCTACAAATAAAACGTGTGAGTGAGGAAGATGAGAAGTGCCTTTCGTCATTGTGATGAGCTCGTTGATGATGGTGCCACCACCACCTTACGCTGTGCCCCGTGGTTCACACATTTGCCATTTATCAAAGACTAAAGGGTAACTGGCAAATGAGCGTCGTTGTTTTGTGCGAGTGTGTGTGTGTGTGTGTGTGTGTGTGTGTGTGTGTGTGTGTGTGTG